TTTGAAAATGAGCTTCAGTTTATGCATAATTTTATCGTCAGTGTCCCAACTTTTGCATCATAAGCTTGATGTGCTTGCGTTTGTTTGCTGCTGGCTGGCCTTTGTGCGACGTTAGCCATGACCAGGCGCTTTCAGGTGTGGACCACAGCACCTGGGCAGCGTTGGCAATTAAGCTTCTTTTGACAGCCAGCTGAGCTATGTGCTCGTTGCCACTGCAGCTGTGGCCCATTGTCGGCTTTATGGCTTTTTATATGGGGGCGGCACGTGCGTCCGGCTGCCAAATGGTTAATTTGATGGCATTTTTAATGCGAACTCGGACTTGAATAAAACTGATTAAATATTGTGTGGCAAGTCGACAAACGAATTAACACGTAGCTTAAAAGTCAAGGATTAAAGCTAATAACGTGATAAATATAATCACAATGCATTGCCTGAATAAAAGAGTTTAAGGCGGCAATAGAAACATATGGAAGTATATATACAGTATATATATAGTATGCGTATATATATGTATGCCTTGTCATTCATCTTAATATATAAGAAATGCACAATGGATATAAATTTATATTTTGACATATAAAACAGCTCGAGATACAAAATTTTAAAATCAGACTAAACATATTTTAGCCTTCTTTAACGAATCTTGCCTTTTGGTTTATCGTATGCACATCTAGTTATAATTTTTCTGAAATGCATGGACAGTCTTTAGGCAATTCGTAATTTTATTAAATTAAAAAAAATGATTTTGACTTTTTCTTGCAGGCCATGTCACACGCAATCGTCCCTCTTCAAAGATGACCAAATATGTGGAATGCTGGGGTGCCGATCGACCTTTTGCTAACATTGCCGAATCCAAGCTGGTGAAAAACATTGGACTGGCGGTGAGTGGGTGTTGGGCAGCTGCTATGGCTGAGGACCATAGTTTTTCCAGCTGCCTGGGGTCAAACAGCAACAGCCGGGAATGACATTAAAATTAAATTGAATTAAACTCAATTTGTTTTGCGGACTTGGTCGTTTGGTCAAATTAAATAAACAACAAGCAACAGGCTTGATTTCGGAACCATTGGGCACCGGCTGCTGTTGCTTCTACGGCACCTCCATCTCTGCCTGTGGGCATCAAGCTGACAAACCTCTATTATCCCTTGCAGAGCATTGCCATGATTGAATCAAATTTGCTGCCGCCCGAGCGTAAATGCTTCAATTTTAACTTCTTGGGACCGCCCACAGAGCTAAAGCCATTCACCATGTGGTACCGGAACACGCCTCGGGAGGCCATGTACCGAGAACAGCCGGATACGCACTTCCGCTTCGATCTGATATGCGCCTTCGTGCTCTTCCTCTCGCTGGCCGTGGTGCAGCTGATTGTTATTGAATTGTAGGTGAGATCCAACGTCCAGAACGATTTATTTAACTCAGACTCGAATGCTGCTTGACAGGAACCTGGCGATGCTTGGCTCGCTGCTGGCGAGCTTTATATCCCTTGCTCTGTTTCTCTATTTGAGCAATATGTCCGTGCCGGACGTGCATGCCTCGAGCACGGAGCGCAATGGTCCTGGCCAGGTGGTGGCCAGCAGTCGGTTTTTGCGCATGGCCATGTTCATCATTGTCAACATACTCATCTCATCCTGTGCCGTCTTCAGTGTGGTGAGTAAAGCACTAACTTTAATCCTTGAGCCAACAGTCTTTAGTCTACTTCTGTAATAGATCAACTACTCGCTGCCTGAGGAAATGCCCTCTGTGGAGAGTAATGCTACCAATATCACCAGCGATAGCTTCAGCAATAGCACGCTCCCGGACGACATGCAACCCCTGGACATTGCCAATGCCATACCAAAAGCTCCCATATTCCTTTGCTGCTGCGCCGTCAGCTTGGCTGCCATCTCGGCTTTCCTGAGATCTGGATTTATACTCAAGCTGATTGCCATGATAGTGGCCCTGATCGGGCAGACGATTGTGCTCGGCTATAGCGACCTCTTTGTGCATTATAATGTGGTCAACTATAACAATGGGTGCGTCTTGGAGCAACCTAACTGAGATTTGTTAAAGTTGAAGCTTGTTTTGCACACTTAGATTCCCCTTGGAAGTCAAAGGCTTCTTGCTGCTGTTGCTCGTGATTGCTGTGCTGCATACTCTGGATCGGCAGGGAGAATATGTGGCACGCACCGACTTTCTGTGGAAGGCCAAGCTCAAGGTCGAGCAGGAGGAGGTCGAAACCATGCGAGGCATCAATAAGGTAAACGCAACTCATAAGTTGCAAGTGCATTGTTTTACTCAGCAAAATATTCTCTCAGATTCTGCTGGAGAACATTCTGCCGGCTCACGTGGCAACACACTTTTTGCACCTGGAACGCTCCACGGAGCTGTATCACGAGAGCTACTCCTGCGTGGCCGTCATGTTTGCCTCCATACCCAACTACAAGGAGTTCTACGATGAGACAGACGTCAATAAGCAAGGCCTGGAGTGCTTGCGCCTGCTGAACGAGATCATTTGCGATTTCGATAAGGTGAGAGCTGGCTGACTGAGTCAACCCTTAGATCTCTCAAAAACTTGTCCAACTTGCAGTTGCTCTTAAAACCGAAATTCAGTGGCATCGAAAAGATTAAGACCATAGCCAGCACCTATATGTGTGCGTCTGGCCTGCGACCCGGCAAGGAGGATGGCGCCACGGTAAGTTGTCGCAGATATATTATATATATATTTTATTTATATATATTTAACTATGGAATGTCTATGTGTATTAATTAATATTTCTTTAACGCTTGACTAATACTATAAATAACTACATTGCGATTTCCTGGCATGCTATATATAGTCGCGTAGCTTTGCGGTAAGTGTGTTAAAATAAGTCTAAATTTCTCTGTATTTAAGCAGTTAGCAGATCTAAGTCAGTCGAAATGATAGCTATGAAGTATGCTTTAAGCTATGCTTAAATATATTTCAATATGTTTAATATTATATTGTAAAAGTCCTCTATATAATATATACGTTAATCTGTATATATCTTGGCCTATGCATCAGTAGCTAAGTAGTTAAAGAATAGCTTCATCTGTTTTACTCAATTGAATTTCAAGTGCTGCACTTGAGAAGCAACAAAAGACCAATTTCAACAGCTCGAATCGTATTTACTGTTTAAATGTCTTTTAATCGCTGCTTAGTAGTTTAATTAAACCGTGTTGCTACACAAAGCTTGCCCTTGCTCAGCAGTTAAATCAAACAATGACCCTTCACAGAATAGGGAATAAAAGACGACAAAAAAAGGGATCCTAAATGAGGGTAGGGATTAGCCAAACTTTGGGCAACATACGCTCAATTGGCTTTCGCGTCGGCTGACCAGGCCAATAAAGGCGACTACGAGCATAATGAAAATACCCAAAAGCCAACGAAAAGTAACTTTTGCTCATGCTCGTTTTTTTTGCTTTTTATTTTGTGACATTTCATTTAGGATGAGAAACGTACCGAGGAGCACAATGTGGTCATATTGGTTGAATTTGCGATTGCTTTGATGTCCATATTGGATTCGATTAATCGCGAGTCGTTCCAGCGCTTCCGCTTGCGCATCGGCTTGAATCACGGTCCGGTAATTGCGGGTGTGATTGGTGCCCAGAAGCCGCAGTACGATATCTGGAGCAACACCGTTAATGTGGCATCCCGCATGGACTCGTGCGGCGTCATGGGCCGTCTCCAGGTGAGCAACAATGGGGCGATCTCCCACCCAAACTCCAGCTTATTAAAACTCTTTCTTGTGGCAGACAACGGAGAACACAGCTAAGATATTAATGGCCGCCGGATATGAATGCGAGTGCCGGGGCCTCACCTATGTCAAGGGCAAAGGCAATCTAGTCACATATTTCGTAAAGACGCCGTTCGATGGCAAACTGTAATTGGATGCGATCCAATAAAAACGCGTTGATAGTAAAAGCTATTTGGGTATAGAGAAATATTTATGTTAAGGCATGTTGTTATTTATTTTTGGAATTATTTTATTTAAGTGATTTAATGATGAATTTTAAGCATTTAATTTGCGTTGCACATTAAGAGTTAGGCACGTTAAGTAATTGTCTTAGTTAATGCTTAATTGTTATTTAGCACAATTTGCGTAGCTCACTTAAACAGCGAATAATTATATAGAATATATTGCTTAAGTATATACAACTATGCGCGTCTAAAAGGAAAACTAACTAGCTAACTAATATTTAAATAACAAATGCAAATTAGCCCACCCCAAAGTAAATAATCAACATTTATCAAATTATTATAGGACCTAGCCATACTTACTGAGTGTGTGTTCCAATAGACACGTGGACTAACCGCTAATATATCTGTTAACTCAACTAACTGCTAGATGACTCTACTATCTATTGTCTATTGGAACACCAAGTTTAATTTAATCTTCGAAAGTTAAACAAACTATGTGCCATCAAAGCTCTAACAACAGAACGTTTCACCAAATGTTGAAGACCTCAAGCGATCTATGAAATTGTATATTTTTTTACCAAATAATTTTTGATATTGTGCCACTCTTTCTGAGCAATAACACCCAAACTGAGCAACACAAAGAGTCCCTAACTTAACATATCCCATCAAATATAGACTATACCTCCGATTAAAACTATTCTGCTGATTGTTTCTACCCATGGGAAATTTATATGTGCATATCTCTCTCTATTTGCTATCAAGATTTACAAATACCCACAATATAATCGAAATATTTACGAATGTATTAAATATATATTCACTTGAATTTGAAAAGATATATAACTACGCATACATAGATATTGTCGTGCTTTTTATATATACATAATTAATAACAATAAGTACTTCAAGTTGTTTGGCTATTTAGAAAATATTCGATTATTGTGACTCAATAATTTTATTAAATACTATTTATTAAATAAAATATACAATACAAGACAAAAGCGTATTTTATTTCGTGTGAACAAACATTTAAGTTGGCTTTGTAGAACGTGTCAAGGATTCAAGTTCAAACTGAGTACTGAGAGAGAACTTATCATTTAAGGTCATATAATTGTGAATGTAACTGGAAAATATATTTAATAACTGCAAAACAAAATTAACGTGAAGTCAAATCGTGCTCCTAACTCCTTCGATACGTTCAATCATGTCTGTGTTCGTTTGCGAATTTCTTTTTAAGCTATTTATTGCCTATCTTTGCTTTCTCAATCTGGCCAACATAACGGCGAAGCGACCCTTTACACTAACCACACAGTATAAGACGTTTTTGGGCATACCGTATGCGGCACACCAGGTTCTGGAGATCCATGACCGGGAATATCAATATACGCTGCCAGCAATAGCAGCTGCATTGGCCTGCATGGGCTGTGATACTCTACACTCGCTGTGCCTTCTATTTGTATCTGAACAGTTCCATCACCGCTTGTGGAAATTGATGATTAAGCTCTTCTGGTTGTCGAAGAGTCTTTGGTTACTTTTGTACGTGGCTGGGTTCGTTTCAATTCTGCGTTCACATCATCAGCTTTACTTGATCACTCAAGGACTGCGTCTGGAGAATGCTGAGGATATGCTTATTAGCTTTAAGTGCCAATTCGTTTGGCAAACAATTGTATTTATATTCGCAATTATATGCTGGATGGAAGAGGACACTCTAAGCAAGAACTATTACAAGCTGTTAGTGTATGAGCGTGATTATCACATCTGAAATTTTATCACTTGGTATGTACACCAAGCTCTTCAAATTATGTCTTTAATCTGGACGTCTTAAGGAGCTACGCATCAGGTGGAGTCCCGTTGGAAGTGTCTTCCAGCAACAGAATTTTAAAGTATGAAAACGTGGTCTAGCTCAGCATTAGTCGTTGTGCCGTATTTCCGAATATGAACCTGTAACTGTTTTTTTTTATTCCAGACGGTCTTTTATACATATTTAAACAACAAAGGCGCAATTGCGGTGACAATTCACCTGCCATTCAACAGTTCATCAATTATGCAGCCTTTTACATATACAATTGGCTGTGTTGTAGAAAAGTATTGAAAATTAGCTTATTTTAATATGAGTAAATGTAAATACATAGCCGATATACTTAAAAAATGTAGAAATGTTTATACTTTTTTTATCCGTTTATTTAAATATGAATAAATGTTAATGCCTAGCAAAAATGTGTTTTTTAATATACACAGATATATATGTAAATGTATAAAACAAAGGCAAACTCAAACACTTAGGGACTAAGGAGATTTCAATAATGGTCAAAATAAAAAATGTATAAATTGATATGGACAGTGCACATAAAAACAAAATATGTAACAAATCACAGAGAAAATGTAAACAAATTGTACTTAAAAACTTAATACTAGGCGTCTATATACACATAAATCTTTTCAGTGGACTGAACTGTAGGCTCTAGAAATGTGGCAAACACACTTTGCCGGCAAACAATTCGGACACGACGGTTATCCACAGCGCTAGCACAAACATAATATATGATATGCCAATTTTAAAGGTATTTGGCAACTGATACGCCTGTCCGCCAATCTCTTCGATATGGAATCCCAAGGGAAACACAACCGCTGCCATGCAGAACAGAACCATTGCAGCAAAGCCCACCCAGCGAGCATATGGAATAACGTTGCGGTCCCAGGTGCTGGATGCCAGCAATATAATCGTCGTGGTGATGCAAATGCAGCCGATGAAAATACAAACGAGTGCGATTAGCCATTCCGGCTGTAGATCTGGAGTGTAGCAAACCTGCGGACGGTTATACAGCGTCATGCACGTCCACATTAGTCCCAGACGTATGTCTCCTGCAGAATATATAAACAACAAATTGTTATTCCTTAGCTTTTGTTAGTATTTTGTGCAGCGGTTACCTGCTTCCTCTGTAATTATCCAATCGGGCAGCGCCAGACTGACAATAGCAAACACATCGGCGGCCATGAACAGCGTGGCACTAATTGTTGTTAATTTGTCCATATTTATTGCACAATTTCCACTTTTTCAGCAATTTTAATGTTGTTTTCCAATTGTTTCTACTCGTTAAGTGACAATGTGACCAGAGGAAGCAAAAACGCGAATACGGGTGGTAACAGTGCTGCCAACTCTGCTACTGGCTTGTTATCGACTAATCGATAAGTTATAAGTGATAAGTGATTATAAGTGATACTGTTTTAAATATTCGACCGTTAAGCAAAAGCATTTATTATACTGCCCACATTATTGAGACTTGCAGCAAGCGGAAAATATGCGATTTGATTTATTTTCTTCAATGTTGGCATCTATTTATGGTCGAATGTGCTACTGGGTCTGAATTTAATCTATTACCAAATACAAGTGAGACATGTAAATCAATAAAAGTCAAGGATCGCTTATCTACAATCCACGGCCGAGACACGTTCAGCTATTTTAATATAGAGCTATTAATGGAATAATGAACAAATACCATTTAAAATTTACGCCCGACCAGTCTACGTTGCAATGTGTCTCAGGTGTGGTGAAAGCATAGGAAATACAATTACAATTACAATTACGCGTAAAAAAATGGTTTCATACGAATACGCCGGGTGATTGTGCCGTAAAAGAACTACGCTGACGTGTCCTTACTGTTGGGCAAGCACCGTTTATCCTGCGTTATTTGTGTATTATTCTATGAACTCATTGCTGAACAGCAATATCTGTGCTGTCATATCTAACGGATGACTCCAGCGTACATGATTAGTCCACTGCTTTAGACATATAATGCGCCATAATTGTACGGTCAGCAGGTGGTGCAGCCGTAGCCCAAACACAAATAACAATGCACAAAATTATTAGCTTTTTTCTGTTGCATTCATTCAGTTTTCGGCGGTGCAACACGACACTTGCTTTCTGTCGGCATCGGTCAACTCAAATTTCGTCGCGCCAGCGTCGCCGTCGAGAGCCAGAGCCGAAACCGAAATCAAACGCGACCTCCTGTCAAAAGGGAACGTTATGTTTATTGTTTGTCTGCGCCTGAGAGCAACGAGTCGTGATTGTAAATAAACAAAATTATGCTTAATCGTTCGCTTTTTTGGGAAAAGAGCCCAAAATAAATATATTAATTCAAATTTCGGTTAACATATCAAATTGACATAAATTTCATATACAAGAAAATAATTATTAATTTATGCTCAACTTTTTTGGTTTAAGGCAGGTTTACATAAATTTTTTATAATTATTATAATATAATATTTTATGATTTTATAATTTTATAATAATAGCAATGAAATTGCCTGCGGTAATGGAATATTTTTAACGTATTTAAATTATTTATTTTTTATTTTATTTGTATAGCTTAGAAAGTATTTTAAACACTATTTCTTAGCTGTCTTCAAAAGATTGTTGTGCATTTAAACAAATTAGAAACGTATTTCGATCTGCTCCTGGAAACGCTGACGTGGGCGAAATGACGCTATTTGGCGCTTAGTTTGCAGAGCCACGTTAGAAATGTGAGAAGGAGCAAAGCAGACAATAAAAATCAAAACAAATTTAAATAAAAAAAATTATTAATAATATGTGCATAAATATGAAAAGTTTAGCTTGCATTATTTTAATTGAAGTATTCAGCTTGCCAAGCCTAATGTAAACAAAAATCGGATTTCCAAATCGGAGAGTCTTCAATTGAATTAGCCACTTATTGAATGTGAGATTGTTGTAAACATTGGCGAACGGTATAAAAGACAAACGCATGGAGCCCAGTGAGAGCAGTCGTCAAACGGATATGGCGGCGGACGAATCAAAATCGGAGTCTGAATCAGAGTCAGAGGCAAATAACGAAGAGCTGACTGTCGTTGAGTAAGTCGTATATAAACTGTGCTGTAAAATCCTTATAGCTCTCGTGGCTTAGGCAAATCGAAGAAGATGACAATTCCGGACAGGAGTGCGACAAGGCGAAGGCTAATCGGCTGAAAGAGCGTGAGGAGAGACCGCTCGTTCTGGAAGAAAGACACTCACTTTCCATGTGAATACTCTAATTAGAATTTGTTAGGCAAACACTTTTCTAACAAAACCTTCTCATTTACCTTCACACAGAGCCGAAACGAAGAAGCGTCGCGCCAGCGTCTACTCCAATGAGAACCTGTTCATACCCAAGGAGCTGGCTCGTAGTGAGCTCCATCTGCGCAAATATCAGTCGGCTTTGAGCTCATTGGATCAAATTAGCAAAAACAGTGATTACTGCATAAGAATGCTCAAGTTTCCGGTTGGATCAGGTCGGGCGCGTTACGTAGCCCAACAATTGAAGAGGAAAAAAACAAAGACAGCGAAGGATATTCCAAAACAACTACTCGAAGAGCCGAAGTCAAAGGAAAATGAAAAGAAAATAAATGAAAAGCTGTGCATAAAGCAGGAATCAGAACGTGGTCAACTGGATGATGCTCAGCCTCAGCCTCTTAGCATGCCCAACCTCGATGCGGAGCATGCGGAGGAACGTCAACTGCACAGCGATGACGAGTGCTGCATCATACTGGAAGACATACTCAATGCGGCCTTGCCCGACTCCGAAGAGGACGGCACCGAGGAATTGATTGAGCTCGTATCCAATCGCCAATTGAAGCGAGCTGCGTGCTCAGAGCTAAAGTAAGTTGAGGAAATACTTAGATACAAGTATGTTTACCTAATTTGCACTACTTGCAGGCCCAGCAGAGCAGATCAGTTGCTGGCGGATAAGCAGGAGCTGTCACAATTGCCACTCCTGCGTTGGCATAATCCGAACGGAAATGATCAGAACATTAAAATGGGTATTATGGATGAGTTGGAGCACATAAGTTTGTCGGCCAATGCTGAGATCTATGTGGGCTTCAACGAGGTGACGACTGTGACAGCAGCTGATGCAGCGCAGCAGGCGGAACAGCTCAATGAGCAGGCGGAGGAATTCCTAAATGTAGCTGTAGAGGAAGCAACACCAGACAGCAGAGGGCAGCCAGTGGAGCCACAGCATGCAGAAGAAGCAGAAGAACAGCAGCAACCATCGCAGGAGCTGGATGAACAGCTGCCAGCTGAGAGTATGCCACATATTGCCAATGCGCACTACATGCTCGGTGAGCGAGCGACAACATCGGGAGGTTATCCGCCAATCGAGGCACATCATTTGATGCAGCGCATCATCTTGCCGCGCTTTTATCCCGGCGATTCGCTGCAATCAACCAGCAACAATGAAAATCTGCAACATTTTGTGGACTCGATGGCTACAGCCGAATATATGCAGCAGTGGAACAAAGATCACTTCGAGAAGTACGCGTACTCGCGGCCAGCCGTGCAGCAACAGCTGTCACAGGAGTGGCAGGCGCAAGTGTTGCGACAGCAGCAACATCAAACTTACTTTCAAGAGCAACACTTGGACGCGGGTCAGAAGGAGTTGCATCAGCTCAATGCGCAGTATCAGAAACTGAAGTGTCAAGAGGACGAGCAGCTCAAGAATATCAACAAGACACTCAAGGAGATCTATGCGGATCGCTTGATTTGCGAACGCCAACATGCGGACTATCATAGAAACTTCATGCACAAAATGATTGAGAGCAAAAAGCAGGAGGAGAATCTGCAGGCACACAAAAGCCAGCTGAAGAGGCAGCTGGAAGTTGAGCTCAGCAGCCTGGAGCAGCGCATCGCTGACAAGCACCGTCAGCTGCACGAGCGTACGCGCACATGGCAATGGCAGCGACAGCAATACCAATACCAGCAGCAGCAACAGCAACAGCAGCAGCAGCAGCAGCAGCAGCAGCATCTCTCACATCCGCATTTCCTTCGACGTTTTCCGCCACCCGCTTATCAGCCGCGCTTGCAGTGCTTTCAGGATGCATTTTCGCAGTGCTTGGACATGCGCATATCGCCTAGTTCACAGCTGGAGGCACAGCGCAGACTGATACCGCCAGCAGTTGCCTTCGTGCCGCCGCCGGTGGCAGCTAGCTCAACTGAATGCCCGTCCCACAGCGATAGCAACCTGCGCCGTCAGCACACGATCGACTACAGAGCCCTCAATCCGCATCTGCATCGATCCACCTCGCATGCCCTTGTGCATCCTTGCAGAACAAACTATTCAAGCTTTGCCCCTGCAACAGCCACAGGCAACATAATGCCAACTGCCCATCATTTTACGCTGCCTGAAACCTCGACCCCCGATGGCCGAGGCCAGCTGAACCAGGCGATCGAGCAAACTGCGATAACCTCCATAATTAGCAACTACGTCTCCAACTATCTGAACGACATGGAGTCACACAATTCCTAAGCCTGGACTATTGATAACTAATTATTCAGTTCATTTGTGATCCTTTGTATACCTAAGTGCGATAAGTGTTCCTATTACGAGTATTGTTTAATATATGTTCAACTTTTCATTAACTATGGTCTTTGATTTACTTATATTTAGTTACAAATAATCATAATTTGATATTTAATCGGTGTCTTTCCCTTTGGCTGTACTCAACCCATGGAGCAGTGACAAATCAGTTGAAGAGCTTGAAGCGCCTGCTGCAACAACTGTGGGCGGGTCGAAGTGCACAAAATTGATTTTTTAATAAATTAAATTGTTGTTCGACCGTGAAGGAATGCTCGATTGCCTGCGACTTCAGTCTGATAGAGACAAGACTATCTTGATAAATAGCGAAAGCAGCGGATTTGACGCTGTTCCCTTTAGCACTGAACTCCTCTGAAATGATTAGGAAGTCCGTCAACGAAGTTAGAATTAGCTGACCTGAGTTACTGCAGGTTGAATCATGTGAAGGACTTCTTTGGAATTTGTCTTAAATATCTCTACAGAAACAGTTCCATTCTCGTGTGGGATTTTCAGATCACGCCCCTAGAATCTCTGACTCCAGTCACTGCCTTGGCGTGCGGCAGGCGGATAGCGCCAATAAGAGCAGTGCGGATGGTGCCAGCCATTGTTAGTAAATTCACTTCTATTACAGCTCGCACTTCGACTGCCCTGGCCAAATGCATTGCCGCGTCCAAAACTTTTTCCATTACCATGTGCACAGCCAGCTCCAGTTGCGTTTCTATTTGCCATCGCACATCCCGTGCCAGTCTTATAACCCTCATCATTATCCAGTCTATTGGCATTTCTGCTGCCTTGTCCACTTGCCTTAGCAGTTCCAATTCCATTGCTGTGCGAATTCCTGTTTCTATGCTCCGTGCCCATTTGACAGCCATTTCCATTCTCACTTCCATGATCGATGGTTTTTGTGCCCACAGCTTTGCCAAGTCGAGGTCTATAGCCGGGCTTGCGAGATCTCTGACAGCTGTTCACAGCCGTGGCGCTGGAGGGCGCTTGCTTACACGTCGATTGTGGAGTATTCGATGCTGACGACGTGCAGGGTGGGGCAATATTCATTGGCGCCCAAGTCGCAGACTTTCGCGGTGTTTGCGCTGGGCTCTTAGCAAACGAGGGTACACTGGGCGCAGCCAAAGGCAGCTGATGCAGTGCGTTATTTTCAGGTGGCAGGATTTGTAGTATAAACATTGGCTGCAGCTGACTCTGGGCTGGATTTGCCGCGTGCGCTTCCACAATTCGACAGGGCAGATCAAAGCTTCTCAAAGGCGAAGTCTGCTCACACAGCTGAGCTGGTATCAGCTGCACCTGCACTTGTTGCCTCGATAGCTCCTGCTGGAGCGGATATGCACAAGGTGCGGTCTGCTGTGCCTGTGGCGGCTGCGGCTGCGGCTGCGGCTGCTGTTGCCAAGGAAAGGAAGTATGCTCTATGGTTTGGCACAGCGAACTCAGCTGTTGTGTGCATGAGGAACGGCCTGGTTGACTGCTGCCAAAGAAAATAGGCAACTGCAGCTGGAATTGGCGCGGCTGCACTTGCAGAACTGATTGAATGTTGTGCACTGTAGTAGCCTGTGCAGACTCCCTTTGGCCAGCATTTCCAGGCTGCACGTATTGACTGTCTTCTGGCGCTGGCCTCAACTCCGTATACAGCTGTACCTCTGGCTGATATGAAGGCTGGGCGCATATTTGGCTGCCAGGCAAGGGTATAATTGTCATGGATTTGTTGCTTGTGTCAAAGTTGTAAGAAGCGGGAAGCGGCACATCGCATTCAAAGCTTTGAAAGAAGAAGAAATTGTTCAGTGTTGTAGAAGTTATGGTTGCTGCTGCAGCTGTACCTTAGGCCCTCTGGAGTCTCGGTCACAATGCATACGCCTAGCTGTGATGATACTGGCCCGAACCCGGGCGATGGTAGCAGAGTAAAGTCCATGTTGAAGCTTTGTGGCTGGAATTGCTGTTCTTGTTCATTCTGCTGTGGCAGCTGCTGCTGCTGCTGCTGCTGCTGCTGCTGCTGCTGCTGCTGCTGCTGCTGCTGCATGCCATTCGAACCCAGAACTCGACCAGAGGATGTCGCATTGATGTGATGCTCGCAGCTTTGAGTACAAAACATTTTCGCTCACCTGAACTGCGAGGCAGCTGTGACAGATCACCTCTATACAAATACCTACCCAATTTTGCTCATTGTACGTCTAGAAATGCGCTCGAGAATACAAAATACAGCCCGAGGTCAGCCTATTATGTTGTAAAACTGAAAAGCTAAAGGTCAAGTGGTCGCCAGTTTTATACAGCCCGAGCTCAAAACGAAATTCAGATGTGAGCTTTTAATAACACACAAAATATATACAAATAGAAAATTTTTTCGGATCCCAAAAAAATAAAGCCAAAAACATAAGAATGTCCATCGTCGAGGCGAAGTGTGTGTCGAAGGAGGGCGATGCCAGTCAGTACCAACAGAATATTGGCAGACGCAGCTTCTTAATCACGGTGGACGATAATGGTAAAGTCGAGGTTAGTCCCAGTGGCCAATGTGAGCAGGTGCTGGGCCCGAAGAAGATGCACACCGTCTCTCGCAAGTCGTCAAGGAGGGGCAAGCAGCGCATACGCATAGCCGTGGTCGAGGAGCAAGCCGGCAGCTCGGATGGCGAGCTGGATAACATGGGGGGGACGAACGATGTGATGAGCATCAATGCACAGTCGCTGGAGACGATGCACGATCGCTTCGTCAAAATCTACAATAAGAAGCTGCGCGGCAAGCCAAGCTTTGTGGTGCTAGAAGATGCGCTGGTGCGCAAACGGGTGGAGCAAACCATGCAGGGACCCAGCCGCCAGACGCACGCCGAGCAGCAGACCACGTCAGCCGATGTGGGCGCTCACATGGGCTCCCAAACAGACGAGTTCCTGCTCCAGTGCGCGATGCGATCCAGCGCGCTCAGCAAGGGCAGGAGCCGAGGCTGCCAGGCGACAGACGTCAGCTGCAAGCTGCCGCAGTGCGCGCATTGCGGAAGCGCTGGCCATAGAACTAACACGAATGAGCCGCTGCAGCGGCTGAGCGAGCTGTGTGCCGTGCAACTGGCCAACAAGTTGAAGCAAGCGAGTGTTGCACCACCAACTGGACGCTCACAGACGGGGACTACGCCTCACGTGACCATCAGCTTCTTGCCGGCCGCCACAGAAGATGCCTCCACACAGCCGCAATCTCTGCAAGAGCAACAGCAACAGCAACAGCAACAGCACCAATTCCTGCCAGCAACAAGTCTCTCTCATATATATGCAAATTGCCCACATATGCTGCCCGCTGGCAGCTGCAACAGTTGCTGCAAGTGCTGCCACTGTTGCCAGCAGCTGCATCAGCATCAGCATCAGCTGCAGCAGCAGCAGCAATTATACGCCTATGCACAACAACAGCATCCTGGCACAGCAGCAGCCTATGGCAGATGCTGCAGCAGTTGCTGCTTGCTGAAACCGACAATGGCGCAAACCATGCTTGGCTTCAGCCATGCCCCGTTTATACCTAGCCATTGCAGTCTCCATATGTTGCCAGCGCCCGATGCATTTGCACTGCAGCACAGAGTGCAGCCAGCAGCAGGTTGCACAGCCCCATGGCAGTGTTATGGAACGCCACCGGCCAGCATGACCACTTGCAACATGCCGCACTGCTTACACTGCCAGGTGCAGCCGCATTCTTGCACAGCTCTTTGCAACGATTGCCAGCAGCAGCAGCAGCAGCAGCAGGAGTTACATCAGCCATACGTCTGCCTTTGCGACAGAAGCTGCTCAGATGTTACGCCGTCAAGCACGGCGGAGCAACAGTCATCTAAGTGTCAATTACGTTCTAAGAAACCACGCGAGGAAGTGGAGCATTCAGCAAATAACAGGCAGAGGAAGGACTTACAGCGGGTCGTGCAGGGGGATATAGAGGTGGGAATACAAGCGGAAGATACACAGGAGAAAGCGGGAACGGAGCTGCAAGGCAACGCATCCCAGATGACAGTCAGGGATATTAACCCGTACAGCGTGAAACGCAGGAGTGTGAAGAAGTTCGGCGTGCAACAGCTCAAGGAGCGCAACAAGGCGGGCAGTAGCTGTCCGCCTGGAAAGGTGTTTATGGCACGCTTTGGACGTACCTGCTTGATACTGAAACCCACCACGACTTCAATGCCGGCACGACTCTTGACAAAACGCATCAGTCGCTACACCTTGCGCAGATCGGCCATGAACTAAAAATTAATTCATAATAAAACTGAGCTAGATCCGAATATTTATTGTTATAATGGTCTGGGCATGCGCAGCACGCCGTACTTGTTCAAAGTACGCTGATAGAAGGATTCTGTAATATTTCTTGAAAGATCTTTTGGCGGAGGCACATAATCGGAATATTGTTTATTACGCTTAACCAGAGCCGCACAGTAAGAACAACATTGTTGTTGCCGAAGCAAATGTTGCTGTGGATGCGGATCTTGCTGTGACGGGTGATGTTGTTGTGGCCGCTGAATCAAGTATTGCTGTGGCTGCTGAACCAAGTATTGCTGTGGCTGCTGATGCAAATGTTGATGTGGCTGCTGATGCAAAAGTTGCTTTGGCGGCAGAAGTAAATGTTGCTGTGGCTGCTGATGCAAATGCTGCTGTGGCTGCTGATGCAAATGCTGCTGTGGCTGCAGAAGTAAATATTGCTCTGGCTGCTGAAGCAAATATTGCTCTGGCTGCTGATGCAAATGTTGCTCTGGCTGCTGATGCAAATGTTGCTCTGGCTGCTGAAGCAAATGTTGCTGTGAGCTCTGAAGCAAATGTTGCTGTGGCTGCTGAAGCAAATGTTGCTGTGGCTGCTGATGCAAATGTTGCTGTGGCTGTAGATGCAAATGTTGCTGTGGCTGTAGAAGTAAATGTTGCTCTGGCTGCTGAAGCAAATGTTGCTGTGACTGTTGAATCAAATGTTGCTGTGGCTGCTGAAGTAAATGTTGCTCTGGCTGCTGCTCTCGCTGTTGATTAACACTGTCCAGCATTCGCCGGCGCTCATAGGCTTTATAGTTATTGCTTAACTTTAGCTCGTCAATGTTCTTAACATCTCTGCTTGTACTACGTATACTACGCTTTTTCATAAGTACAATGACATCGCTTTGCAATGCGTTACTTGGACTTCTCCTGTTGACCTTAGTGTCAGATGTCTTTCTGGGATCATGACCGCTAGCCTTCAGAAGCGTTTGCCTGCGCCTATCACATTCTTCCGGCTGCTGTGGCTGCTGATGCAAATGTTGCTGTGGCTGCTGAAGTAAATGTTGCTGTGACTGTTGAATCAAATGTTGCTGTGGCTGCTGAACCAAATGTTGCTGTGGCTGCTGAATCAAATGTTGCTGTGGCTGCTGAACCAAATGTTGCTGTGGCTGCTGAAGTAAATGTTGCTGTGACTGTTGAATCAAATGTTGCTGTGGCTGCTGATGCAAATGTTGCTGTGACTGTTGAATCAAATGTTGCTGTGGCTGCTGAACCAAATGTTGCTGTGGCTGCTGAAGTAAATGTTGCTCTGGCTGGTGCTCTCGCTGTTGATTAACACTGTCCAGCATTCGCCGGCGCTCATAGGCTTTATAGTTATTGCTTAACTTTAGCTCATCAATGTTCTTAACATCTCTGCTTGTACTACGTATCCTGCGCTTTTTCATAAGTACAATGACATCGCTTTGCAATGCGTTACTTGGACTTCTCCTGTTGACCTTAGTGTCAGATGTCTTTCTGGGATCATGACCGCTAGCCTTCAGAAGCGTTTGCCTGCGCCTATCACATTCTTCCGGCTGTTGGCACGCATAAGGATCGATCAGTGTTTTCATTTCTTGTTTTGAGCTCTGTTGCAGATTGTCGTCTTCTAGATATTCAGATCGAGTTGAACTGCAATTTTCATTTGGAGATATTTTTGTTTTACTTTGACTTTGACTTAAATTTAAAAACTCAGTCTGAGAACTGTACAAATGCTTAGTCCTGAGGAATTCTAGAAATTCCTCCTTAATTCGAGAATTACAACATATTGACTTCGGATAATTATTTTGTGATTCGCTCTGTTTTGTAATGTCCTTTGCATCTAAGGTCGTATTGGAAACCTGATTTCCTGCTGTTGAATCATGTTCCCTACTTGGCTGGCTTTCTGCGTTCACAGTTTCCCTTTTCCCAAGGTCTGATGTAAGGTCGACACTGTAAGATCGACACTCCCCTGAACAACTGCTTGATCTATCAGCCTCCGTCTGATGCTCTGAACTGTCAAAAGTTTCGGACGGCGGCTGAGTGACGGCATTTAAGATCTTTGGCAACTGAGTTTCATCCAGCTCTTGCCTATGTTTGGGGCATGGCTGAGTTTGTGAGCAGGAAGAGCAAATGAGTTCTTACTCACCAGTCATCTGGTTGGCAAACGGTGCCCATATTTTCGTCTGATTTATTGCACAGCTGGAAAGGTAAAAGTAGTACCGGAATTTTCGATTTACTGTGGGCGCAGCTGATGGCAACATTTTTCCATATCTTCTAGTATATCATCTACATTTGAATCATTTAGATGCTCATGGCCAGACATCAGGTTCACATTCGAATCCAATGGGACTTTGCTATCGGTCGCCTTGGGGGGACAACGTGTAATTGCCTCCACACTGTATTCTATCAAAGTGGGCAGGCATTCATTGTGGTCCTCTTTCAAGCGACATAGCTTCAGATTGAGCGACTTTTGCCTTGCACGGCTTTTTAATTTATCGCTGCTCAACGAATGCGAATCAATTTCATTATATTTCAGGAAGTTCGATGAGCATCGCTTTGGCGTTTGATTCAGGTATCCATTAACTGGCTTCTCCACATTTGACCTCTCTGCATGCTCGTCCATTGCCTTGACAGAAGTTCTGTGGCTTGAATTATATGCATCAGGCTCACGTGTTTTGTCCACGTCTGTAAGACGCCTCAAAATCTCCTGAGTAGCCAAGAATGTTTTTTCACAATGCGCGTTGCAGTTGCGGACCAGTTGACTGAAAAATCGCTCAGACTCTTCAGGTGGCTTCTCACCCACGGCAGTTGGCACTTGATCTACTGTGGAGACACGATGGGGATTCTCTATTCGATCGACAATGCTGTTTATTATTGGTTCTTCAATGGAGGTCAACAGCTCTTTAAGCGCCTCAGATTTTATTGAAGTTGCTTGTGAGCTTCGTGGTGACGCAGCATTCTTGTACTCAGTTTTATATTCTGAATGGGTATTGCTCGTCTGACTCGGAGCTCTGCTAGACGAAGGTAGATTATTCAATCGACTCCCAAAGGAACGCTTCCTGCTTGACGAAGGCAATGCAGCCGGATCTTCTATTATTTGATCAGACTTAATGGTCGTCTCAGATAATGTAATCGGCTGAGCTACTTCTTCCATGCGTGAAGGTAATATTGCCTTCGACTGCTGATCGTTCGATGAGGACTCGCTGCAGTTACACTTCGAAGTCAGAGCTGCAGAAGTTCTGTCCCAGCATTGAACGTTTTTATTAGTTTTGCTATATTTCGAGTTACCGCCTTGGTTTGCTTCGCGTCTCCTTGTCCTGGATTCCATTGATGCAACAGAGTTCGATGGAGTTTCTTTTAAGTTGAGCATCCTGGATTCCTGTTCATCATTCACTGTTTGCTTAGTTGGTAGAGCATGTTGACAATAGCAGCAAAATTCAGCAGCTGGCAGTTTCTTCGGCTTCAGTAATTTTTTCCTTAAGCTTTTCTTTGCCACAGTCGCCTGTGCTTGCCTAGACTTTGCCAGATTAGTTGGACTTGCAGCAGCCAGAGCAGTTGCAGCACAAGTCTCAGGAGCAGCTGCAAGAGCTGCAACAGCAGGTGGCATCATGACTGGCTGGCAGCCCATCGGATACAATGTGATGCAGAATTTGCAAGCCGACTCCACTGCCTTGACCGTGGAAGGATCAGAATATGTCTTCCTATCATTTGTTGCGTAAAACTTCGCGTTCATGTTACAAAAATTTTCAATACACTTCGAAATGGGTATGCTAATCCTCAAGGGCACATTGCCCTCGAAGCTATTTCGGAACAGAGATCAGAAATGTTAACCCAACCCAACAAATGAAATCCACTGTCGATGCTTACCACAACTCATTGATGGGCTCTGGCTTTGCTTGGGGCACAGACGTAGGAGGTTTCTTCTTCAGTTTCTTGAGCTTTGTCCTAGGCCTAAGCTTCTCCAGCTTCTCACTCTTCGCCTTGGTTTGACTTTGCTTTGCTTCATTCGACTTTTGTGGCTGTTTCAACAAATTATTGTTGTAGCGAAGCCCATAAAAGCATCTCTCATTCAAAAGGAGCTTTAGTTCCTCGAATAATTTTGAGTTCATGTCCAATGCTGCAGACTGATTCTTGGCTGTTGTTTTCAGTGGCAGTGTGGAGGGTCTCCTTTCCTGGGTAGTAGTTGCTAGCCCATGCATCTGCTTATCAAAGCGACTCTTGTTTAACGACTTTGCATCAATTTTTGAACCAAAAGGCGACGCTAACTTAGAGCCAATTTTCGGAGAGTTACTCAAACCCAAGTTGGTAGCGCCTCTCATGGATTTTCTTGGCTGTGACAAGACCTCTACGGGCTCTCTACTTTGAACTGCTGGGGGTAGCAACTCCCTGCCCTCTGACCTTTCCTTGGGCTGTGCAAGATGTATCGACTTGAACCCCTTTCTCGAAACCAACTCAACTAAATCTCCATTGGGCTCTGTTAGCGGTGATGACTGAGAGCGCATTCTCGAAGATGTTCCCACTGCTCCTTTAGTAGCTTCTATTGGCTGCGACGACTTACTGCTCGTCTCCTCTACTTTATCCGAGTATGAGCCGATTCTCGAAGTGCCACCTGCTGAACCTTTAGTGAGTTCCCCTGGCGCCGACGACTTAGAGCCCATGCGCGCAGTGGCCTCCACTAACTGTTCCTTGGGCGCTGTCAGATGTGACGACCTGGACCCCATTCTCGAAGCTGTCTTCTCCGATTCTCCATTGGAATCTTTTAGAGGCGCCAGCTGAGAGCCCTTTCTCGAAGATGATTGTTTTGTAGATTCACTGGGAACTGCTAGAGCCGACGAATTAGACTCCATTCTTGAAGCAGTCTCCACTGAGCCATTACTAAGTTCTTCTAACGTTCTCACAGCGGCCCTCATTAACTGTTTGTTGGGAGCTTTAAGAGGTGCCTCGGCTTTCGTCATGCAGTTCCTTTGAAAGTGCATCTGTCCCGCGCCTTGTGCCTGGAGGCGTCGTTATTATTATATATATTATTATTTGAGATTGCAGTTACTAACCTTATGCCGCCCTTTATAGGCGCTATCCATATGGTTCGCCATTCGATATGCACTAGAATTTTGCTGATGGATGCAACAGCAGGTGCAGCCACACAGTTTACGTGGAGAGCAACTTACTGCATTCAAATTATACATTTTTTAAATTAGGTTCTCAATAAAAAATCTGTAATTTAAACGGAATATGTCGTGAATCCTAATCCCATTAGCAAAAAGTCCACAAATCGAAAGGAAATCATACAATTTTGTACCGAAGACTGTGAGTTATTTGAAGCAATTGACAGCATTTCCAATTCAGGATATACAAAAAGAACTTTAGGATGTGAAAGTGACTGTTGCTGAGAGACCAGGACGTGATCTACTTTTATTACTACTTACTGGACTAATTTTGCAATACAAATATCATAAAATTCAATTGTTTGATCAGAGACGGAAGCATTGACCAACTCGAACATAGCCCAACTCTAGACGAAGGTCTCCAACTGAAATAAATCGAGTTCGTAACGTACCGTACTCTATACACAAGGTCGCTGTGGCACGCCTTCCTCACTGTACATGGCACGTTACCTTACCAACTCCCTTTCGAGTCCTAAGAGCCGCCCTGCCAGCAGCGTGGCATCATGAAACGCATCTTGGCATAACGCTGCTGGCAACAGGGCTGTCTGTGTTGGTTGCCCTGAAGCTGCGGCTGCGGCGGCTGCTGCTGCTGCTGCTGCAGAAATTGTTGCTGCTGTGCAAATGGCATTGGATTCTGTTGCGGCATATACAATCGTTGCTGTTGTTGCGCTAAGGCAACGGCACTGAAGTACGGCGTCTGTTGCGTGTGCTCATCGTTCATGGCAAAGAAGCCAAGGGCTAAGACTGGCGAAGCTTCGGCTTCGGCTGAGCCACTTGCAGTTTCTATTGGCGTTGTCTCGTTGATGTCTGCTGGCAGGGAGGCACTTGCTTCGGGGTCCCTCGTCTGCAGACTGCAACCGCTGCTGTTCGCACATTTGCTTTCCGGCATTCCCTTTGCGGCGCAGGCGCGGTTCAACTGCATCTGAATATGATCGATGTGAGCCTGGGCCTGTTTCATTTGCCTCTGCAGCTGCTGGGCTAGCGTTTCCGTTAGACCATTTAGGCTACCCTGCAGCGGCACTTGGTAAGGCATGGGCATGGGCATGGAAGGCGCTTGACGACAGCAATTGCCATACATTGCATTTGGCTGAATCTGCTGCTCTGGCTGTTGCATGCGCGTCGCCCGGTTGCGGCCACAATTGTTGCATGAATAATTACTTTTCGAGCTGCTGGGCGACTGGAACTGGCCCTGCCGACATCCACATCCACATCCACATCCACCCGCTGGCTGTGCTTCGTTCATGCAGGATGTTTTTCCCAGCTGGCCGGGCGACATGAAAGACGACATACAATAGGCTGATGGCGGCTTCCAGAAACTGCCTTGTCTCAGATCTAAGTCCTCAGCGTTCAGTTCGTCGCAGCCAAAGCTATGAGCACACAGGTGAGCATATATCTAGATACGAATTGCTTACACTTACCTGATATATTGCGATTCGGTCACCTCACAAGAGGCGACCAAGCCCACCTCAGTTTCGATTTCTTCGTGCACATTCACGTGTGCCGTCGGATATGAGCTCCGGAACTCTCGACGATCCTGTTTTAAGGTGTTATTCAAATCATTAGTCTTTAGCGCTTCATAGTGAGCTGCCTCTTCGATTGCAGTTTGCGACTGGGATTCGATCTCGTCAACAGCAGCGGCTTCAGCTTCAGAATCGTCCTCGGCCTCTTCTGGCTCCGTCGGCCTATTGACAGCTCTGTTCCGCTGCTCTTCTACAGTCGCCTCCTGTTTGCTGGTAATCGATTTCGAGGAGTACTTCTTTTGGACAATCGGAGCTGTCTTCACAGGCCTTCTTCTCCCTGTATGGGCGTTCAACATAATCACTGGCAACGCACTTGAGTGCAACATATCCTTGGAGCCACTGCTTGCCAACGTCGTAGTCAGCTTTTTCTCCTGCTTGTTGCCCCCCATAGAAGCACTCAGTCTAGGACTCTGGTTTAGGCGTGAAGCCTCGAAGCTATGAATTGGTAATTGCATATCCACCACATAAGACGCTTGAGGGCGGTTCGTTGGCTTCGTTTGCTTCGCTTGGGGTCTAGCCGTGGACGCTAAAAACACATTTTTCTTGGAGTTAAGTAGGCGACGCCGCTGAGGTGAATTACTAGCCAGCCTCGGCGCAGTGGATTGCGAGGCTGCAAATCGGTTGGACTGACCGCCAATGCTTCTCAATGGATAATGGCTAACGTTGTATGATGTTGGATTGACAAAGCAGCTCTTCTGTGCGCAATGCTCCGCTGTGTTGCACCACATTGGGCTGCCACTTCTTGCTCGGCTTGTGCTTGCATTTTTGCGCATTTTGTTGACCGCATGCAACCGAATTCAACAACACTTCCGACCCAATTTATTTGTTACCATGTTTACACAATTTGAATAAACAACTCTGATGTGTCGAAAACGTATTTTGAACTGTCAACAACTGAAGCAGACACATTTATGCAGAATACTGCCACAGAAAAGAGCTGTGAAGAAGATGTCTACAACTGGGAGCAGTCTTAGATTAACTGCAGATGTATTTAAAACATAAAATATTTATACATTTATTAAATCACAAATGAGATATTCCAGTGCTGTGGGAAAATATATTTTCTGATTCAAGAAACATAAATATATCAAATTAATTATTTTTGAAATTATGGACAAGCATTTACCAGCTGTAGCCAGCCTTAAATTTAATACATCTATGAATTTCATGGGCTAAGCACTGTGATTAAAATACTTAATTAAAGAGGCCTTTGAAGCTCATAAATCATTTGTATAATTGTGGAACTACACTTGCCCTAAACATCAAATATTATTATTTTATTTTGTCTAAGAGAAAATTATGAGTAAATGTTTTTTACGATGAACTTTTAGGAGGACTAAGTGCTTTTAAAATGTGTGCCTGTAATACGAAGAAGTGAGTCCTTTATCTAATGCCTTCTATTTTTATACATCTAACTTTCCTTTCAAAGTTATTTTTGTAAATGTTATAATTATGGCGATTGTTGGTAAGTCGAAATATAGTGCAAATTGTGCTCATGAGATTCTTCAATTTTCTTGTTTTAGCTGTGGGTGTAAAGATCCGCGATGTCATGAGACTAAATTCTCGAAAATTGTTGTGCCGAGCTTTCTGTGCGATCGTGTGAAATCGAGGTCAAAACCAAACATGCCAAAAACAAACAAAACAAAGATTAAGACAAAGGACATAGGCGTTGGTACTTACGAGGAGCCTGAAGTTGCGTGTGAAGCCGTTTGTAATTGTTGCCAACCATGTGTCCTGCCTTCCTATGATTCCATGTGGCAAACCCCTTGTGTTTTAATGAATCCAATGAATCCTGCTGTAAACCAAACTTCATTGCAGAGACTTCGTCCGGCTGGCTTGCCCAGTAAGAGGTGCACACCTTTTGATCCCTGTACAGGCATGGAATTAAGGTGTCAACCACCCTGTACTCCATTTGGTCGTTGTTCTGTAAACCTTGTCAAGAATATCCAAATCCAAGATACACCCAGCACTATTTTCTGGCAAGAAGAGCCAACTGAGTCAAATGAACTCTTGCCGCCAACCAGCAAACCGATATGCCCGAGCAATAACTGCATAGATAAAGCCAATAAGGGAGTCAGGCGGAGCAACAGTTGCTGCCGCGATAAATGCGTGAACAAAGCCATCTGTCAAACAGGCAAGAGATCCTTATCAGCAGCCCCCAAGGCAACCGAGAGGTACACTTTCCCAGCCAAACAGAAACTGCCGCCCCTTAGAACGTAAGTAATGCCAGTGCGTTGACTTGAAGTGCTAATGCCTCCTTTCATAGACACAATGACTACGAAGAAAATACTCACTCGCCGTACTTGTGCAGAAATAATATGACTGGACAACATGGCAGTAATGAGCTTAAACTTGTCAATTGCTGTAATGCGAGCCCTGATTTCTTGAATCGGTGAGTTATACGTCAACTCATATCTATACAACAACATTTTCAACACACACGCACACGCACACACACTCGGAACAACGCACAGCCGCACAACACAACACAACACAACACACAAGTTCAACACAACACAACACACAAGTTCAACCCAACAGCCATAAACTCATGCTTCCGCACACAAAGCCAAATAGCCCCTCTACGAGGTAATAATGCTCAGGTAGACATACTATTTGGCAGCATTTGTGAATCGCTGCGAGTGCCACAACCACCGGAGAGCTGCTATATTTTGCTGCCGATTACGATGGCCACGTCGAGCAAGAAAAAAACCAGGCAAAGCGGCAAAAGTAATAATGAGTGGAACAACAACGAAGAAGAGGGCAGCTCTGACAAAAGCAATTCTAAGCCCGAAGATGAATTCCAAGAAGAATGCCCACCGAGAACACGCACCTGCGGCTGCAATACGGAAGCCGTTAGAAAGTAAGTTACAAGTCGAAAGCACTTGCATCCCACGCTAAACATCGCATTCCGTTGACAGCTGCCAAGCCAAGGATGGCTCATCTGAGGCAGACAATGTTGGAGGTGAGTGCAAAAATGCCTGTGGCTCTTGTTGCACTGCTGGCTGCTGCTATTGGCCCCGACGCACGTGCTACTATAATCCATTTACGGGTCGCTATTGTTGGTACAATCATTACTGCTGTTCCAGTGGCTGTAATAGTTGCGCTGGAGCTAATCAAAATTCCTGCGCCTTACCAGCCGCAGCCAAACCGCCGCAATCAAAAAAAGAAAGCTCGAAGCGGGAGACATTGAAATCCCCGAGGAGCTCAGCTGTTGCGAGAGCTTCAACGAGAGCTTCAACGAGCCAGCCACGTTCGTCGAAAAAAGACGATCGCAATATAGGCGGTGGTGAGATGCCATTTCCATCGAATAGTAACGAGGAGGTCCAGCATTGGATGGGATACAGCCAGCACATGGACACAGGATTTAACCATGATCTCATGTCAGTAGCGTCGTCGAGGCCACCAACTTCAAGCAAATCCTATGCGACCTATTCAAAGTCGTTCAGATCACTAGATGCACAGCAGCAAGATCAGCCCCAAGAGCAAATGCAAGAGCAGCAGCAGCAAAAGCGAGGATATTTTAAAGGTTTCAGATCGCGGATGCCGTCGATGATGATGATGACGACATCACCAAAGACGACGGACATTGACTGAGCGCCACTTTAGAGCTTTTAAAGATGAGCACACTCAAATTTGAAAGTGCAATAGGCTAAAATATATATACACCAGATTCCGTCAAATCTGTTATCTGAGCTATAAACCCGTCGGTAGTTTCGATATCTTAGATCATGTAAAATCTACCGGTAGAGCAATAACTCGCGTTTACAAAATTTGTATAGTGTGAAAATTAAATTATGTATAAGAAACAGAAAACCAAAATCCAAGCTGTTATTAATTGAAAATCTACATCAGATTGCATATCGAATAATTACATTTCAATTTGGTTTTTATTAGTTTTAATTTGCATTTATTTTATACACTTTCGTATGTGTTTGTTTGTATATCATATACATAGATCTTATTTAATTTGTGGGCTTTGTAGAAAAACTTAGGTTTGTTTAAAGTATTTTTTACATAAAATTAATTGTTCTGTATTGTTTTTTTTTAGAGAGAACCTAACTAAAAACTATGAACATAGCACATTATTAATTGTTTGTGTAGTGCAGCCATAAATACGCGTATTTTATAAAGGAATATTCAGATGAAAATTGTTATGAGAAAATATATATATTTATGCTATATAGAAGACATAAGAACTATGCGAACAAACCTATTAAAAGTTGCCTGCACCTATGAAGCTTAAGAACATAGATTAAACTGAGTTTGGCTTGCATTTTGCCCATAAACATTGATTGATTATCCGTTTGTTGTGTATGTGTGTTTGTGTGTATACATATACATATACATATACATATATATATAAATCGAAACGTATTTCTATATGTAATGTGTGTGTTATATATTATTGATAAACTTAAAGACTAAATGGGCGTCGAGCGCAGGCGCATTTATAACCTTTAACAAAAATGATATATATGTATATATGTATATATAAATATATAAAATAAAAAGTAAAACAAAAACTACGTACATATTTTAAACTATTTACATTGGACAATTGTCAGTTAGCCTGTCTGTTTAAAAATGTTTTCAAGTCTTTACCTAATATCTTGTTGCACTTGAAATGATGTTTTAAGTTTTAAATTACTTTTAGCTATGTATGTCTCTATTTATGTATGCATTTATGGATATATAGAGTACTCGTAGTTCTGCTTTAATCACATGTTGTACGCTCAACGAAAATGGGTTAAATAATTTAAGGAATTATCGACGAATGGATGCCCTTCGCTCTTTGCTCTCTAAGCATTCTCATCGGTCACATAGATATAGCCATGCTGTTGCAATATACTCAAACGCTTCTCGACGGCATCACGATCTGCACGAGTAGAGAGTCATAATTTAATAGAAATCGAGGCACAATAAAAGTAAACTTACATTTATTCAATTGCATTTTATCCTGGGGATGATTGCACTTTTGCACCAAGGAGTGTAACAATATGTGAGCCGTGTTATAGCGCTCAAAACAGTTCTTGGTGTTCTTCAACAGCTCATCCAAGGCCGCCGCCTGGCACTGCAAAGAGAACGAAAGACAGTTGGAATCATGTCTGGTTCGTTCGATAGTTGCTAATGAGCTTACCATATCCAGCGCATAATCGTAGAGTATTTTATCCGCTGTTATATTAAATGCATTTGCTTTTTGGAGGAGACCGCTGCCATTGAGACGCTTCGACTCAAACAAAATGCTGCGATATTTAGCGTTCATAGTGAGCAGCGCTGCAGTGCAGAAGTAAACAGTGAATTAGGCTGGATTTGAGGTTTAAACTTGCCTCTGTTCCGCTTACCATTCTTAACGTTCGATGACGGCTTCAACTGTCCATTGCGCAGCTGCTGCGAGGCCAAATTTAGGCCGGACGATAGCAGCTGCAGGGCGCGCACAAGTAACACCAAGCGCTCTGCTCGCTTGCAGTGCTCCGGGGCATGGGGTGGTATCTGGTGCTGATCGTTGGCTGTCTGACTGCCGCCAACCATTAGCGTGGAGAGCGGTGCACAGCGTGAATCGGCTACCTCCTGGATGCAGTCGGTGAGCGCCACCACAAAATTTAGCTTGGAGAGTGTTTCGTTGTGCTCGCGATCCATCAGTGTCTCTTCCGAGAGCTCTGGTGCCTGGAATGCATGCGGTTCAGCGCCCGGCCCGCCGACACCGACGGCAGTATCCAATAGGCTCTGTAGCCCGCCGGTGGCACCCAATTCTGGCAGCGTAAAGGCACGCGGTCCCAACATATGATGTTGATTATTGTTCTCGGAGCCACTGCCCGCAGAACCAATCGAGCCCAGCGATCCCGGAGCCACTAGCAATGTGGGACTGGACAGCGTTGGCAACTTGGTCAGAGCTGCGGACGGAAGCACCGGCGAACTGTTGCCGCTACGACGCAATGGCGACTGAGAGTGCCCGGGCGACACCTGCCAAGTGCTAGGTGCATGCGCTGGCGGTGTCTCAGACAGTGAGCCACCAGACGCTGAGCGCACCCGTGTTGGCGGTGTGCCAATTGCAAATTGCACCGCCGGCGGCGAAATCGAATTGATGTCGCTGCTCACGCTGCTCTTCCGCTGATCCGCACGCGGCTGCTTGACACTAATTGGCTGAGAGCGAGGAATTTGATGGCCGCCAGCCGCTAAAGTGGCTACAGTCAGCGGAATTCCGCCCTGCCTGCCCGGAGAGCCAGCGGCCCCGCCAGCATTAGGCAGCTGACGTCGCGCCGGTGCCGGCACAGGCTTGGGCTCCGAAATGGGCAAGCTGCTGGGACGCGGTGGACTGGACTGATTCTGTGTAGGCTGTTGCTGCTGCCGAGGCTGCGTAGCCGCTGCATGTCCCTGGCTCTGACGCTGATCCTCGGGCAGATTCTTGGACACCAATACAAAGTCATCCGAGTCCTCGTGCGAGCTACTGGAAGCACTGTTGTTCTCGCTGTCGCACAGCACACCCATATTGGTAATCGTGGCGTAAATAGCAGGATTGGCTACCACAGAGACTGCAAGAAGTCAAACATTTAGATTGGATATTACTCAACACAGTTTGCGAACATGCAGCGTACCGGTGTTCTCCTCTTCCAGTGCTGCCTCCTGTTCCTCGCGCTCCTTCTGCTGCTGCTCGGCCAGTTTGACCAGCTGTAACTCCTGTTCCATCTGCTGCTGCAACGGACTCTTGGCCTTCACGGGCGGAGTGCCACTGGACAGCGGTGGCATGTCTGTTCCATAACACAAAGTGAGTTTGGATCGTAAGATTTCGAATATTAAAATTATATACCTGGCGACACGGGTGCCCTCTTGCCCTGCAGAAAAGGATGCACAAAGAAGCTCTCATAGGATATACGATCCTTGGAATTGCGTCGCAGCAGACAGAGCAATAAATCACGCAGATCCGGAGACACACCATGCGGTATTCTATTAAAGAAAATCACATAATTAAAGTTGCACTAAATCTCCCTAAATAAACTCGACTAATAACGTTAATTTAATCAATTTGTTAATCTTGTTATTATTGATTTTAGTCACATTTAATAATGTGTAAATTTCCATAATTTGTTAAGCCAATCAATTATCAATTAGCAAATTAATTATTAATTGGGATTGATGTTAATAATATTCTCACTTACTTGGGCGCCAGATTCGCGTTCTGCTCGTAGTAGAACTTCAGCTCGTTGGGCGTTTGAGCATAGAATGGAGCCTTGCCTGTCAGACACTGATAGACAATGGTGCCCAGCGACCAGAGGTCGGCCTTTGCATCATATTGCAATGACATAATCACTTCCGGGGCCTAACAATTAAAATGTTATCATAATTTGTTTACAATGAAATGGGTTTAGCTGAAGCTGAATGCTTACCATGTACATGGGTGAACCGCACAGTGTGGCTGCCATGACGCCCTCGTTTAAGAAGCGCGCAAAGCCAAAATCAGCTGTAGAAATTTGTAGAATTAATATATATTTTAGAGCTAAGTTTATGAATATTCGAAAAAGCAGACAGATTCTCTAGAAAATAATTATATTATTTGTATTACGAAAAGAAGAGTCTGGTCTAGACTTTATGATTTAATAATTATTATTATTTTTATTTCTATTTTTCAATATTTTCTCTCTTGTTTCTATAAATTGTAATTTTGTTATTCTAGATTTAATTAAAATATATTTGACTTACCAATTTTCAGTGTAATTTTGGATGGTGCTGGCAGCGTCTTGCCATAGTTGTGCGACAGCAGAATGTTTTGTGGTTTGAGATCACGATGCACAATTCCTTTGGTATAAAGTGCTTTCATGGCACCAGCTAATAAACAAGAATAGCTCATGTCAAAAATCCTATATATAATATATATAAGCTACTCACCTAGTTGTATGAGAAACAGCCTGACAGTATCCTCGCTTAGAGTGCCCTTGACACTCAGATAATCCGCCAAATCGCCGCCATTGCAATACTGCAAAAGAGATTCACACGGAGAGATTAGCGAGAGAGCATGGGACGAGGAACTTAGCTTGGAAAATATTTAAGCAATTTGTTATAAAATACAATTTTCATATAATTTAAATAAATAACAGCAATTGTTCAAGCTGCATTGGTGATGGAAACTAGACATTGGCCTGCAAAACGCATTTAAGCCAGCTTGTTGTTGGGCATTTGTGGTAAATGCACAATTGGCAAAAAAAGGCATTTGGCAGCACGCAAGCCCGCGAGCAAATTCAATTAGCCAAAGGTCTGTCAAAGGTATAAAAGACGCTGTGGCTCGAGCAGACCATAGCCAAAAATTTGAGCCGCAGTTCGTTAACGCGATATGACGGACGCCGTGGGGCCGCTGTGCAATGCCAGCGTGAGTCCTGTGCTCAGGCCGGAGGCACGCATCTCGAACAACGGCGATCTGCAGTTCTTGGGCTGGAACGTGCCGCCGGATCAGATACAGTACATACCGGAGCACTGGCTGACCCAGCTGGAGCCACCAGCCTCAATGCACTACATGCTCGGCATTTTTTATATATTTCTGTTTTGCGCCTCGACCGTGGGCAACGGCATGGTCATCTGGATCTTTTCGACATCTAAATCGCTGCGCACACCCTCCAATATGTTTGTGCTTAACCTGGCCGTCTTCGACTTTATAATGTGCCTTAAAGCGCCCATCTTCATCTACAACAGTTTCCATCGAGGCTTCGCTTTGGGCAACACTGGCTGCCAGATCTTTGCTGCCATCGGCTCCTATTCGGGCATTGGTGCCGGAATGACCAATGCGGCTATTGGCTACGATCGCTTCAATGTCATCACGAAGCCCATGAATCGCAATATGACCTTCACCAAGGCGATTGTGATGAACATAATCATCTGGCTCTATTGCACTCCATGGGTCGTTCTACCGCTCACCCAGTTCTGGGATCGGTTCGTGCCGGAGGGTTATCTGACATCCTGCACCTTTGATTACCTAACGGATAACTTTGATACGCGCCTATTTGTAGGCACCATCTTCGTCTTCAGCTTTGTGTGTCCCACTTTGTTGATAATCTACTACTACAGCCAGATAGTTGGACATGTTTTCAGCCATGAGCAGGCACTGCGCGACCAGGCCAAGAAGATGAACGTGGAGTCGCTGCGCTCCAATGTGGACAAGAGCAAGGATACGGCTGAGATACGCATTGCAAAGGCAGCCATTACCATATGCTTTCTATTCTTCGTGTCCTGGACGCCGTACGGTGTGATGTCGCTCATCGGAGCGTTCGGCGATAAAAGCCTGCTAACACCTGGAGCCACTATGATACCAGCCTGCACCTGCAAGCTGGTGGCCTGCATAGACCCATTTGTGTATGCCATCAGCCATCCGAGGTACCGCATGGAATTGCAGAGGCGTTGCCCCTGGCTGGCCATCAATGAGAAGGCGCCCGAGGCCAGCTCGGCGGCATCAACAACGACCCAGGAGCAACAGCAAACAACTGCAGCTTAAGCTCAGCTGCGAGGACAACAAAGGACTCTCGATTTCGGACAACGCTGACAACGACCCAAACGACCCTGAAACTGATCTTCGCCTGATACTTGATCTCAGCTAAAGCTGTCTGAATGCGTAATATGTATGCAATTGTTTTACTATAACAAACCAAATATTTGTAGTGCGCTATATAAGAAATCTAAATGTATAAACTTAATGCAAAGTTCCGAAAAGAACACTACAAAAAGAACAAAAAAATTAAAAGAAAACATAAGAAATAAATTCTCTGCCCGGGAAGCTGCGGCAAGCAAATCGCATACTATGCGAATGAATTAAGCTCAATCAAGTGGAAACACATGCGATTGTCGTCTGTGAATTATGCATGGATTCGCTCTCTAGCTTGTTCTTCAGGCTCAACGAGGTCTTTTGTCTGGCCGTCAAACAATTATGGAACAAATGTGTGTGCGTACGGCATCTGTATAGGTTTGCCGACTATGATGTTAGCTCAAGGTCAATGTGAAATGATTACCGACAATTTGGAAATCAAAAAGCTGATTAACCCCTTCATCTTATTCTAATTTCTTAAAAGGGGTTCGCGCAGCAGCTTGCAGCATTATTTGTGAGAATCGCATATAGAGGCAATTCGAGCGAGCGAGTAAAAGGAGTGAGAATTATGAAATAATGATACGAGTAAAAGTCAATAATTTATCTTTTATAAAAATTGTATAGGCAACCCTCGCTAATTATACACATATAGCACAGGTCAGAAAGAGTCGATGCTTTTGTTATTTGAGAAGATGAAGGACTCGTGTGGCCTTCAGACAGCAAACTGTGTGACATAAAAAAATTATAGCCACAAAACAATTCCTTTGTAGGGAAATCAAATATTTTGACTGAGATATATCGTAAATAAGCTAAGTTTCATGGTTGTTTGATGGAAATGACAAAATGTGTGGGCCACTTCCACTGTAATGAGCAAACAATGCACTCTAATAATAATAAAAGCAACAGCCACATTAAGCAATTAAAAATGACAAAAGATTCAGTTTGGGCTCGCGAGCAGGCACATTTACAAAACAAAAAGCACTCAGAATAAAGAGAAATAAAAAGTCAATGACATGTAAAGCGCATAGCAAAAGGCAAATACAGATGGACGAGTGCTATTTCATGTGTACTCTGAACGTTTCTCTAATCAATGTAAAAGCAACAAAAATTACAAAAAATAATAATAATAATAATAATAATAATATTGCAACAACTGCGCATGAGTCAGCGTATCAGTAACGTAAGCAGTTGCTAAATTCTAATATATATTACATGGCAAATGAAATCAAATGTAGAGAACCAAAAAGAGTTGTACCGAAAGAAAGAGAGAGAGAGAGAGAGGAAGAGCGAAGTGCTGGCCAACTGCTACGCTCTCCAAGCTGAAGCTTTAAAGCACTGTCAACGACGCCGCAATCGCGCGCTGCTCAGTTTGTCAGGGACGTTCGCACCATTCGCATGACTCGCGCAAAACTTCAAGAAATCAAAGCATGTACTAAGCAAAAACAACAACATCAAATGAAAACAACTATGTAGAATTAAACAACAAAAAATCACATAGAAAAACTTGCGTTGCTCAGCGACTAAAGGTCAACCATTTTGTAGCGAATCTGAGGTGATAAACACAATATGACTTCCACATAAAGCAAATACTTGTGCTCAGCTTGAAACCGCACATTAGTGATAAAGAAATAATAAAATAAATGAAAAATCTTTTAAGAATAAAATGTGCGTATTATGGAATATTAAAAGACTTCCATTGATTGTGTGTGTGTGTGCTCTTTGTATTATATTGACTTGAGGAATAAATAAATAGGTCAATTAAAACTGAAATATATAAGAGTGACAACAAATACTGTCCTATAGCAAATGCATGTGAAGCATATAACAGTTGACAACAAATCACAATTATTTCTTTAATTAAAACAGAATCCGTAATAGGCGCTGCTCACAATTGATAAGATTAGCAATTAAACATTCTAATGATTAGGCAAAGCAAACTTTTACCAACAACAACTGGTCCAACATTAAGTAAAAGTAAAATGTCTAACGCATTAGGAGAGAGAGAGCGCCAAAATGAAAGATGAGAGAGATGACGTGCAAAATGTGCTACCAACAAAGCGTCGGTGTGGCGCAGACGTGAGAGGCTCACTTCGCTCACAAGTAAAAAAAAGTCCCCCGCACTCTCTCGCTCGCTCTGACAAACACCTGCTCAGCATAAAGTAAAATTTCCCTCACCGTTGATGCTTTGGCAAAGTTTTTACTTTGCGCTCACATTTTTTTTATCCATTTAGTCACAAGTTGGCAGCGAGCGTGTTCGGTTTGTTGCGTGCTGCTCAAAGAGACGAATGCCAAAATTATATTTGCTTCAAGCATATCTTTATATATATATACCGATATATATATTGATATAATATAGCGGCAAATCGTATAGGAATGTATATAAATATAATTTATATCGCAGTGTTTTGGAAATGCTAACGGAGAGTCGTGTGAAACAAATATTGCAGTATATACACAAGTGTACAGATAAATAAATGTATATATAAATATATATATATATATATATAAATATATATATATATAAATATATATATATCTGAATGAGAAATTGATTAATATGCAAGTGTACTACCTGCAGTTCTCATGCTATCAACATTACCTGCCTTTCAAAGAGACTCTGACATGTGTGCTTTAAAATTAAATTCCTTTTGAAATATGAGTTTACCAGATGAGTATACACATCTATTCGTTAACACTTGCGCTTAAATACGCGAATTGTCACAAAACTGTGTTCATTACAACCACAAAAAAATTATTAAAAACAAAAGAAAAACGAAACATCCCATCCGTTTGGTTTAACCAGGCTGAACTGTATAATTGTATTATTATATAATCAAATTTCTTCAACTTTATTCAACAGCATAAAAAGTGATTCAACAATGACATGAAACAAATGCCCTGCATAAAAACTTTAAGTAATATAAAATAATAAAACATTTCTAAACAAATACCATTAAAAACAAAACCAAAAGCAATATGCACGTTTACTACAAATTCGGACTACTTCTAATATTTCTGCTGAGCGTAAGGTAAACAAAAATAAATAAACATCAAATGATACATATAATCTGTAATCTGGTTCAAGCCCCAAACACTTTAGTTTCGTTAATAAAAATCATTCATTCATCACATTTTCCATGACACATCGATCACCTTTTCGCATTGTTGAAGAGTGACAACCAATTACATATAGCGAAGACAAAGTACAAAATTCCATTTGGTGAGATATGTGGTATATTCGAATAAATTGAAACGTAAACCTGTTGAAAGAATAAAAACCTCCGACACATCGGTTAAACGGACCTTGAACCGGCCTTATATCAGCCTCAATTTTTGTTGTGCTAAATACCTTTTTATTTATGGCCAGCCCGGTAACAGTGACACAAGCTCCACCCGCAATTAATGTTATTATACTTATGTATGAATTCTCTAATCGACCCGTTGATAAGACCAACCTACAGTTGCGCCGATAATGTCCACTTATCGAATATGTTTATTCAATGCGGTAAACATTCAAAGCGTTTTAGTGCAAACAAAACGAAACGTTTTATGACTCAAGCATGGCTCTATTTACAGACAACTGGCAAAGCCAAGAAGGAGCTACTCTATCGATTTATTTCGCAAGCTATAAAATGAGTTCTAGGAATTCGATGTGTGTATGTTTATGTGTGTGTAACACATTTGGCAAGGTCGGCCTTTAATTTCAACTGCAGCCAATCAATCTAAAATGAATGTTTATGAGGGTAGAGCAGATACATATAAACTGCAGGTTTATTCCAATTTAAAAACAATTTCTCAATAAATATTATAATAGTAGCTCCGACGTAAGAATTGCTTATTCACTCAAAACTTGACTTTCTATATAAAATATAAACTATTTTGTGTTAAAACACACATATATATATATGGCACAAACTATAGCTATACTTAAACTCATTCCATAAACTATAAACAACTAATTTTTCTAACAAGCTAATTCCTAGCTGCCCAGACAAAGCTTTTATATACTATATATACTCGAGAATCCAACAGTCACGCAATTTATACAAGTAGCAACGGGCGATTATAAGAAGCACTTGAACTGACACACACACACACATACACAGGCACATATATGTATATATATATATGTATAATGCATGTCACCTCGTAATGTTACTTTTTACTTATAAACTGAAAGGGCAGCTACTTAATTCCTGCACAATCTGACGCGCTCCTAATGAAGGCTACAGAATTCGCAGTTATTTGGGCAAAATCACGACAAGCTAACAGAACGAAAGTGAGAGTGAGCAGACAAATCAACGGAACAGAGACAGAGAGAGAGGGAGGAAGGGAGAGAGAACGAAGAAAAAAACCGGCCAAGCTTTCGCAGTAACCATGACGTAAACAGGTTTCCCGCTTGTTTTCATTCATGCGGCTCGGCTCGGCTCGCAAAGCCTAGCAAACTCAGCAATAGCAAACAAAAGCGAATAATGATAAAGAGCGAACAGACGACAAAAAGGCACAAAACTATAAGAAATACTAACAAAAAGAGCAAAGCAAAGTGTTCTTGAGTCGCTTCTGACTGAAAGATGCCCTGCAAATAAATATATGAAATAAAAAAACCAATCATGCAGTAAATTACACTGATTTGCTGCTGCTCTTCGCATTCCAATTAGAACAAATTCTTATTCTTATTATTATTTGCGTAGCCATAAATAGCAGTTTGTTATACCCCAGTTGCCAGGCAGTACAGGGCATCATTGATAGCGTGTTTGTAAATGGGTCAAGAGTGGTTTTCAGGACAAATTGTTGGGTGTGTCTGTTCACGACGTAAACGTACATTATCTCAAATTGGCAAACATTCACAGTCAATTGAGTTTTTTTTTTGGCCCAAACCACTTGGCCAGCAATTGCTAATTAGGCCCGCTTACCTTGGCTAATAGCCGAAATGGGGTGTACATGTTTGCGTTCGCTTCTAATTTTGTTCATTTAATTTCAGCATAAGCCAAACAGCACCCGCGGACAAAAGCCAAAAAGGCAGCAACAACAATAGTTATGATGATTACGAATACGACGATGATGATTACGTTGACGAAGTGCATAGCAAGGAGTCGTCAGATAAAATACAACCAGAGATTGCAGCAAATCGACAATTGGGCATAGCATCGTCGACAACAACAACCACATTTAGGCCCATTTTCAGTAAGTTCACGACTAAGTAGAATATGCTTAAGTCAGGTGAAGTTACACCTGTCAATGGTCACTACAAATTTATTGTTATTGCTTGCAGGCATTCCACGACGCAGCAGCCATGTGCTGGAGCCAAGTTGTCCACGGAATTGCCTATGCTTGGAGGACTTCAAGTATGTGCAATGCACCAATGCACATTTGACTCATGTGCCATTAGATTTGCCAAAAACGGCAGCTATTATTGATTTGAGTCACAATGTGATTTCGGAGCTGCGCGCCGAAGATTTTGCCAATTTGTCCAAAGTGGTCGAAATCAATTTAAATCACAATTTAATCAGACGTATCGACAAGGAGGTCAGTCATACAAATTCCCATATGCATCTTTAGCTGATATGTCTATTTTTATTGCTTAGGCATTCAATGGCATGGAACGTTTGCGACGCCTTCGCCTGGCCAACAATCTATTGACCAAAATCGATCCAGATACTTTTGCTGCCGCTACCGATTTGGCGTTGCTGGATTTGAGCAATAATAGCATTGTTCAGCGCACAGATGGTTCGTTTTTGAATCAGCCAAGCTTAAATGAATTCAGCTGTTCGAACTGCAGCTGGACGGAGTTGCCAGAGCAAATATTTATGAATATGAGTGCACTAAATGTATTGCGCTTGGATCACAACGAATTCAAACGAGTAAGTTTAGCGCCAAACTATCGCATACATCTATCGATAGTCGATAGCAGTCAGATAACGAGTTGGCAGCACTACAAAGTTAGCCTATATAGTTGTCTCGTTCTGACACTTGCTTGCGTATAGCACACTTAAACTGATGCTGCCTCTTCTTCTTTTTAATTTTTGACAGCAAATCAATACGAGAGCTTTCACGCCGCTTAAATATATTATTAAACTTAAATTGCCAGAACTGGATCAAGCCAACATTGAGGAACTCTGCAATCTTCTCAAATCGATTGACAACATCAGCTTCAAGCATTTTGATGTCAGCTGCTTTGAGTTGGTCCTAGGAACATCATTTAACGAGAGCCTCATCCAAGCGACAGATCCACCTTTTAAGCGAGTGACTGGACTGCCCAGCACACCGAAGCCAGCGACACCAGCTCCGCCGCGCACAGGTAATAAGCAAAATCTCGAATATAAATAAATATATATATGCACTTAAGTAATTGTGCAAATATTGTTTCAGCAGCCAATCGCAATCGCAACAGAGTGGCCAACGAGACGGTCAGCGTAGCCAAGGCGGGCGTCATGACTGAAACCAGCAGCGATACACCCACAGACAAGGAGGAGCCATATCAAGTGCCCATCTCGCAAGAGACCATCAACATACTGCTTATATGTGAGTCTATTGAAATACAAAGATATATATTTATCTATTCGACAATTAATTTATTTGTTCAACAATTTTCAGGCATTATGGTCGTCGCAGTTGTGGGCATTATTGTGGGCTTGATTTGTCGGAAAGATCTGGGCGGCATTAAGACGAAATGCTGTCGCACTAGCAAACCGGAGCCAAAGGATCAGGTGCATCCCACTGAGGAAATACCGTTAAATAAGCTAGCCTAAGATAAACACACGCACACTCGCCCGCTGCCTTAGAAATGATTCCAAAACGAAAAACCACATTGTCAATACAACCAGCAGCATTTGCCAACGTTACGAGACTTGAACTCTGTTTGCATTGTATTCAAAATAAATTTCCGAACTGTAGCGGAAGTTTTAGTTCATAGCACCCCCATTAGTTGTAAGTCACCTAGTCGCTTAGTTCTTGATTTCATGGACATGTCTAATTTGTAGTTCGTTCGCATTTTGTGTTTTTGGGTAGCAAAGAACTAAAATTATGTTTTCTATGGTTACGTTTCACGCACATCACTACGCATCATATCGATATTAGCTAATACAAATTGTTATAGCTGTTAGACCTTTCCGTACTCTTAATAATAGATACTTTGCCAATTATGCAATAAAATTAATTGTTGTAAATAGTATAAACCTAAATTCGGTATTTTTTACTAATGTTCAATTCACACAACAGAGATTTTAATCACAAATATAGTCATTAGATGATTAAAATGTGAAAGAAGCCATTGTAACTGTATGTACAATTTGATTATCAATCATATTTCATAACACGAGACACATACATCTTATAAGAGAGCAACGAAATCGTTCAACTCTTTCAATAAGTACAACGAAAATATGCTGATTGCACTAGAAATTAGAACACACAGTAGAAAAAGCAGCGAGAAGTCGGGTAAACACGGCGTAGTAGACATGAAAATGAGGTCAAAGTCAGCCAAAGCAAACGGAACTAATTGAATGTTTAAATATTTTTCGTTTTACACTCAACTAAAATTAGATAATTAAATCTATAGATAAACACATGCATTTGCATATTTGAAGAGCCTCCACTTGGACTCTACAGTCATAGGTATTAGACAAAAACATCCGCGTTTCTCTTTCATAAATGATCTTGATATCTACGTATATAAAAGTGCGAACAACACAATGCCATCTAATCTTATCAACAAGGCCTCAACTAATGCTTTGTGCAGGAGTCTGACCTATTTTCGAAATAATGTAATCATCAAACAGTGCCTGCTAAAAGGCTATAGACACCTGCTGCAGAAATACGCATGTACTCATGTATGCCAGGAAGTATAAAATCCAATGAATAAATCCATAAACAAAGCAATCAAAGTTTAGGTGAGAAATATTTATAAATAATTGCGAAACTTGCAAAAATAACCTGTTTACATATACGAAACAGGTATATTTAGGGAAACAGATTAGTAAATATTTTATATAAATGGATAAGTGGAATTAGGAAATGTCGTAGCACAAGAATGAAAATACATAATCATTTATGTATATAATTAATTATAAATTTAGAATTATATACGACAATTTGGATCACAGAAGACAGTCGCATTTGCGCTTTGTGTTAATACGAAGTAAATTATGGGACACTTAATTAGTAGCCTTCTTATGTGTGTTGTGTTCCCTTATAAATAAATTGGTTCTTCAGCTTAAGGTAATATCACAAGGCATTATTATATAATATTCTAGATTTAGAAACATCTCTCTATTAATATGACGATGATTCGACTGACGTTAATTACAGGGTATGCTATAGTTGAACAAGCTTGTTAAATGCCTCGTTTCGTTTCGTTTCTGCATATTTATTTTGCTTTCATAGAGACTTTGCAACTTCCGCAATTAAATGCGTAGCTGAAAGTGCCCTCATGAAAAGCGGGATGTGGAACGCTGTTCAATGACGACAACCTTGCCTACGTGCACTTTTTTGCATCGGGTAGCGGACGGACTGAGTCATACTATTAGGCCACATATCATTAATGATGACCATAGCGCAGTTCGCCAACAACAATAAATGGGAAGGCATAAACAATGACACGGCAAAATTAGTGTAGAACTGATGATTAGGCTTTTTTGAACGAGATAGTTGGTGAAAAACAAAGTGGGCATATGCCCAGGTATATCTAGCACTCACCTCCATGACCAGGTTGACACAGTCCTGCGACTCCTTGCAGTCCAACAGGGCCACGACGTTCTCATGATGCAGCTCAGTTAGTTCCTTAAGAATTTTAATCTCCTTGCCGAGTAAATTCTGCGTCTTGATGAGCCCCTTCTTGGTAATACATTTGATAGCAACGGGCATGTGTTTCTGAAAGGTGTAAACAAAATACAGATTGTAAATTAACATTCATTAGTGTTGCTTTACGAACGGAAGTCATTGAACGACAACTGTAAAAGCTTCTTCTTCTTTATAATTAAGTCAATAGAAATATTGACCTCTCAATACCCAAGTGAAATTCTATAAGATTTAAGCGTAATGCTCTTTGGGAAAGTTAACAATAAAATCTGGGTTGACTGTGTGATTTCTATGAGTCACGTGTCAATTGCCGTTAATCTGATTGGCATTACCAAACTGGCATTAAAGTAGTGTTACAGACCTCTCAATATGACGCGCTCAGTGCAATTTTTGCGATTTTACGACATGTGGTTATAAAAAAATCTGCTTGAAATTGATGTTTTTATTAGTGCGATTTCTATTTGATTCATGCAATTTTTAATGTTTTTTTTTTAATTCTTAATGAGCGCGCAGAGTGAATCGCTGCTAAATAATTACTTTTTGAATGCGGTCTGGTTATTGAAGTTAATTAATTTTTGTTTAAAGCAAAATATACATGTTTTTAATTATAAATACGGCGTGAGAAGCGCATAGAGAGGCAATGAAATTAGTATTGAGCTGTGATTTGCAATACATTAAAGCAAACTGTACAGTTTTAGATGCAGTTGGTGTATTTCAATAGATTAATGAATAAATAAAATATATATATTTCACTTTGCTAATGATTTCTGCCTGTAATCATATGAAAATTTATATGGTTCGATCTTTATGGGACTTTATTTTCGCAATTTTAGAGTAGTACATCTCAAAAAGTTCTCATGAAAGTAGTGTTTACAGTAAAATATAGTTTAACTCTTGCTTCCACATTCATTTAACTGAAATCTGGTATCCTGGCTTATTGCATACATATTATATAAATATGTGCAACCTGTCCCGTGTCGCGCTGTCCAATTATATATTGCGTAGGCAGTCTAAGCAGCGCATGACTGGCTTTAGTCTGTCTGACAGACTGACAGACTTTGTCGGATATCTGCACTTACCATTGACTAGTCTTTACTTTACCTTAAATGATAAGACTCACGTTCCCCCGTTGTCTGGCCCAGTACGTTAGTTATTTACCTGACACTTAACAAACGACAATGACTCTTTGTCTGTGTTTACCTGTTGCCGTGCCCCGTCTCGCACCCGCCCAATCAACAAAGGAAAGTGTTAATTTGTGTAACTACCTTTCATTTTGCACTTGTATAAAATACTCGAATTGCATGACGCGATAATCCTAAAGATTTCTGATACGATAGCCCAACGTGGCCAGTTTCACAGTTACTCCAAATGCAGAACTGTTTTTTTACGCTCTACGCTTCGTTACCTAAATCTTTGCTCTAATTTTTCTATTTAACACTTTGTTCTGTTAAACTTGACATTAAAAAAGACAGCTTTCTACATCTTAACTGAGAACTGATAAGCGAGACATATATTTAAAACAATTGCTTCTTCTATAAATATTGACAATCAAGAAATTCTTGCAACTTGACCGATAACACATCTGCTTGTTTGTTTGTTTAAAGAATAATTATATGGAAGATAGTAATAAATTGCTTTTGATGCCACATGGCATCTCAATTAAGAGCATTTGTTTAATGCTACTCCAGCAGATCGTCGTGGGGTCCACTGGGTGATATGGCGTTTACTTGAGACAGATTACACAGTCTGGCATAGGTCAGAGTTACGAAGGGAGGACGAATTATGAGATAACAAGCACAGAAAAATTAATAAACAAAAGCACAAAATATAGCAAAACTGGTAGAAGAAGACAAAATATATATAATGAACGATATGAGCAATAATATGAATATATTATACAATTCAAATTCCATTTAAAAACTTTTCTGCTTTGCCAGACGTACAAGCAAAACAATTAGAAATCGTAGACCAACTTTGACTAACTGTCGAGATAAGCTTAATTGTATTGGCTCTGTTATTAGTTTCAAGTAAAAAGAAATATTCCAAAAATGTATTGGTTCTTTGTAAAATAATACTAATAGTAAACCAATATCATTCGCGTTTCGCATCATCTGCACATTCCTATATCCTAACCAGACGTATGTAATAACAGCTTTGATTGCATAATCAAAACAAACATTCTGAAACGAAAGCTCTAATCAATAATAGTCGATCGCATTTCAGTCATGTTCCAGAGATGAGGCAGATTCCATGCGCAGCCAGACCTATTAGAATATGCGCATAAATTGTCTGGTCTTGAATTAAAAACCCACACCAAACACACACACACACAAACATACATACATCTGTGTACATATATATATATATTAAATAGTCAGATCACAATTCGCAGACAAACTGGTTTAGCTAACAATTCGCAGTAGTTCCAGTTCGCTAATGTTCTATATATTATAGTCTATCCATTCATAAGACATATTATGAAGGAAACAATACCCGGTAGAGTTTTTGCATATACCCTGTCTTAAGGAAACTAAACAGGTATGTCGATGTTGTCAGCATTGTTAAGACAGAAAATATTTTTTTTTATCTAGAATTTTATGTAATTAATTTTCATAGTAATAGCAGTATACACCGGTAAAATTGAGGCGTAGGGTATTTCATGGCCATGCCGCATTGCTCACTTCTTTTTTTGTGTTCCGTCAATCACGCGTTGCGCGAAATTCGAAACCTGCGACGTAGTTTTGCCAAAAGAGTTTTCCGCCAGGCGCTTCGTCTTGCTTTTCCAGCTACATTTTCACCGAGGCAAACCAGTTGCAGCAGCTCCCAACGGCGCAAGTGTATCTTGCCTCTATATCTGTATCTGAGTACGTATGTGTGTGCTTATATCTGTCAGATACTTTGTGGCTGTAGCTTTGTTTTGCTTTTCGCATTTTCTGCGCAATTATTTATTTTTTTTTTCGTTTTGCCATTTCTGTCCAAAAAAAATTTTGTTTTCCTCTTTTAGTTGGGGGCCAATGCACTTTGGCTGAAATTTCTTTCGCTCTTTGCAATTGTTTTTATCTGGCCTGTTAGCCTTATCAAAGCCGCACGGCACATTGAACTCCATTGACCATTCGTCATATGCGCAAACTAATTTAGCACAATTGAAATTTGTTTTTTTAGGATTGTTCGGGATTATTACGGAGAGGTCGTGCGGTGTCAGCTTCCGTTTTGAAGAGTCGTCAACTTTCACGTTCACATTCATATTTCAACAGCATTTGGACAACATTTGCTATTCATTTATTGCTTAGCTCGAGTTTCGCCCATACGTTTTGGGTTCATTTCTCCCATATGGGTCACGAAACAAGCACAAAATTGAAGTCAATGGCATTCGAAGTAACTTCCGTAACTGCCTGGAATCTAATTACTCTATATTCGCTACAGATTCTTATTCTCAACAGACAATCACTGTATATATATTTATATTGAATATATATTTGATATTCATTTAGGGTTTTTAGCAAATTAAAAATGTATTTAAAGCAAATTAAATTTAATTTAATTTTCCACATTTAAAATGCTTTAAATCGTTCAAAATAATCGATTTACTGCTCATTTAACAACACCGTCTGTTTTAGTAATTATTATAATATCATTTCATTTAATCTACAAGCTTTTACAGTTCTATTTCGATTAGAGGCTGCTGCCCGCACATGCTTAAATCGTTAATTTCTAGAAACGCATTTAAAGCAACTGAATATTGCAGCAATAAAAAGCAACAACAACAAACTGTGACCAAATCAAATGCAAAATACAAAATACAAAATGCAATTGCACAATTATAAAAAATAAATATAAGCACAGTGTAAACAAAAACAACAACAATGTGAGACAGTATTGAAACGCGTGCAGCCAGTGCGGCAGACAGATAGGAAAACAGAAAACAGAAAACACAGGGGCGAAAGGGTATTACGAAACCTTGCCATAATATTTTATAAAAACATAAAGAACGACTACGAGGGCTAAGCGAGAGCTTAACAGTAATAGAGTAGAGTAAACACTTAATATATAAGAAGATAAGTAAGATAATATATATTTCCAATAGATTTATTGCACAATTATAAATTGCAATATGAATTGGTTATTTAAATATTTGACCATATAAGAGAAGCTGAAAATGAAAACATAAGTTTCCCTTTGTAAAAATGTACTTGATCCTCAACGTTGATCAAACAATCATTTATTTTCTTATTTACAATCTCGATGTCAATTTTAAATATGTTATCATGCAGCCCTCGTTTATGCACATATCACAATATGACATTTTTGCATGATTCTCTATGTGGGGGGTTGTATATTATGCAATGCCACGAGCACAAACAGAAGCGTAGAAAATTCTATTATGAGAAGTAGAAACAGAGCCATGATATTGGAACACGTGTCGCTAACGATTTGCACAAATGTGCGTGTGTGTGTGTGTGTGTGTATTTGTATCTGGTAAATATGAATTTATTCATTCAGTTTTAGGTTCCAGACGTGCAGAGCGCTCTATAAAGATTTGTGTTTATTTTAAGCGGCAAGTCTGGCAAGGACTGTCGCAGATGTCTGCAGGCTTCAATATCGTGCTCTATCTGGCCCTTAGCATATGTATATATAGATGGATCTGCATCTTTGTTGTCTGCTGTCTGCCTGCACATGTTCCATGCGGTCAACTATTAATAGAAAGAGCTAGCAGGCATTACACGTGCATGTGTCTGCCAACATCAAGAACGAATGTCATAGAGTAAAGAGTGTTACGCGGCCCAATGCTAATCTATCTACAAAATTAAAAGTATTTCAGAATTCGAGAACAAAACAAGAATGCTAAAGCCATAAATTAACTCAGCAGTCGACTGCTTAATATGGCCAACAGTATATGCATATCAGGTATATATAGCATATATATGTATAAAGTCGATATCTTGGAGAAGCTCATGAGATATTCTTATATAGTCACTTTTATATATTTTGGTTTTCCTATATTTAAGGTATTTATATTTTTTAATTAAAGCAAATCAAGGAAAATATCGATGAATTTTGAGTGAAAATATACGCGTAAAATTAAAAATCAGATAACGAACTGATATCAAGGTAAAAGTAAAACTTATAAAACTTTCAAAGCAATAATCAAAACACAAAGCCATAGTATCAAAAAGCTTTAAACGAAAATACTTATGGCAACAGCTGCCCACTATTGCATCAGCTGTTTTTTGTGTATCCATCAGATACACAGCTCTCCATATTAATGTGCTCTGACTGATTTTAGTGCTTACATATAGCCTGACACTCCCAATGGCCCCGAAGAGTAACAAACAGATTTGTGTGAGAGCAAATTTAATTTGTTTATAACAAACACAAGAAACTGTGCCAACGAGTAAAAAGCAAAAAAATAAAAAAAACTAAAGCTCTATATGAAAATCGCAGCGCTTATCAATTGGGGTGAAAAAATTGCTAAAACAGTCATTTGTTTTTGTTTTTAGATTTGTTTTATATTTTTTAATTAGTCAAGTTCGTGTCGCCTATAAATTACAATGCATTCACAAGCAGCACCTGCAACAAACAACCAGCAACAACAATAGAGTGCGACCCATTTGTTGCACACGTATAATTCTCTGTTGTCTCTCTTGCACTTTATGTAGCCATCTCCCTTGCTTCGGCTTTATCTTCCCGCTGATTACTAAATGAATGTCTTTTTTCACAAGAGCTGTAACTTTTGGTTTCTTATATACATACTCTATATATGTATGTGAAAGATTGGGGAACCTGTTTTCTGTTTTCGGGTTCAATATTGCATCGAATCTGTGCTCATATTAACTTTTCGTTAATTTCAGAAAGGGTTTTTTCTCAATCTGCACTATTTACATACATTGTTAACTTTAAGCTGTGGGAGTTGTTAAAATAAAATGAATATAAAATGTTTTTTTATTATTATTGCAGACGTTATATAAGCACATTCACTACTAAATAAACAACTCAATCACTGCGGTAAGGAATATATAGAAAAATTTCACCATTTTATTAAAGCATAAGGAACGCATAATATAAGCATGTATCTAGTTTAAAGATAAAGGTTATTTAAATTAAATTTGTTGAGTTTCGCCAACGCCTAAAATTACGCCTACATGAGCGAAATCAAACTCATGTGAAAAAATATTGTTTGACACGACCCTGAAATAGTTCAAAACACTCGAAATTCAACACGCAGAAACGCACACATACACAGTTGAGCATATCTGAATATTGTATATTATGTATGTATTAATGTACATAGGCCTCTAAAATCGACAACAGAGAATACGAAACTAACAAACGCACGTGTTTCAAGCAGATTTTATAGAATTAATTCTCTTGAAATTATTATAAGAAGAAAACAGAGAGAGATAAGAGCAAAAGCAATGCGAAAGCAAAAACAAATTACCAATAACAAAGATATAGAGCGAAGCATAAGGAGTTGACAACAGGAAAAAATAGACGTATATTTGTCTAAGTGTGTGTATGTGTTTACATACAAAGGGGCAACGCGCTGGTGCGACAGCGACGCGTCAGCTGAAGTCGCGCATTCATTTTTAGGCTGCCTTTGACATTTGGCAAGAGCAACCAAAACAGCAGGAGCGGAAGGTACTTCAGATGTACAGTATGTATGTGGGTGTGGGTACACTTTTTTTCTTAATTGCGTTTTATGCGAATTTCGCATGGCAGCTCGTTTGATGTTTGCGTTGTTTGCTTTGACAATGGCGCATTGTTAATAATATTGTTGTTGTTATTTTTAGAAACTCGAGCCAAGCCCACATACTGAAATTAACAATAACAAATCGCAAATACATTCAAATACACATGCTTTTACGCAAACGTCTTACAGTTACAATTACTTGTTTAATTAGTTGCATTACATGACGTTTTCTTACCTTCCGATGACGTCCTTTGTAGACCACTGCGAAGGCGCCATGGCCAAGCATATCCTTGGAGCTGTATTCATATTCCCCGACAATATTCATTGCATGCGCCGGCAAAGACGCGCTTTGATTTTCCTTTTATTTATTTCTGCCTATTATTACTTGCAGCCCTTACTCACGCCACTTACACACACTCGCACAAGCACACACACACTAAAAGATTGGGGGTGTTGGCGAGGGGTTACTTTAGCTGGTTTTGTGTTGCCTTCTGCAACTGCAATCGTTGTGGAAAATCAATTTTTTCGCATAACTTACAGCCACAGATAGCGATTTCGTGAACCTTTGCGAACTGGGGCGAGTTTATTGCCAGCTGTTTTTTTAACTTGCACTTGCCATAAACAATTATCGAGCGCACTCACTCACACACACACACCTGCCTTTACTTTTTGGCTTGTAATTAAATAAAACTGGTGTATTCCTGTGTGTTAGTACTGCTGTGTGTGCAATTTATTCAGTTTCCACACACACACTCACACTGACACACACACACACACGCGCGCGCACACAAAAGAAAAATTGGTTACTCAATCCCGGCCTGTTTTTTTGTTAATAAACTTAGTTCTATAATTTTTAATTTTTTCAATTACTCTCAGTTGTGTATGTCTTTTTCTACTTCGCGATTGGCAATGTTATGCTCTACAGCAGTGCTTCTTCTTTTAGGAATTCTCAACATTTGCTTCTTTTTCTCTGAGTTTTGATGTAATGTTATACTCAAAATGTGCTGTTAGTCGCAGTAGACAGAGTTGTCAAGTTATAGCTACATTACTTTAAAATGATCGATGACAAGAATTCCCTCTTTAACTTCTATATATATTTATAAATGTACGTACAAATATATATATGTTTAAGACGTATTTAATGGCTTTTCCCTAAAACACACAATAAGTAAACTATGCGAATTAAGCGCCAATATATCGAGTCCCAGATTTCAATAGTTAACTATTGATATACTATACATGCACATAATATCGATAGTTTTGCAGCGATATGCATACGTCTCTAAGAAGGAGCATTACCATTATTAAAATAAACAGAAGGGTACACAACAGATAGTGAAAACTTTTGCATTGTACACAACGTGCCAAAAAAATTGTGAAAAACAAGGTAAGAAAATGTGAAAACACGTTATTGAAGAAGAATAGTGGACAATTTATATGCATATGCATTGAAATACTCGATACAATATATACATACGTATGCAAATGTGTACATACGTAAGTATGTATAAACTGTGGTGTGATAAGAAAAAAATGCAACAGCATAGATCCTAAGCAAAAATTTGTATACTTTGCAGTATTTTTATCAATAAATTTACTGGGTTTCTGGAAAGCATGAGCGCGTCGAGTGAGGGTGGAGCAGGCGGTGCAGTGGGTGGCAGCACTGGAAGTACAGCTACGACAACGGCGCCTGGTATGTATTTGAAATAATGTCTAATGTATATACGCACATAGGTAGATATAAATACATATGTATGTATGTGTATATATGTGTTGGCATTAGTGTGTATTCATAACATTTTTGTGCTTTACAACTGCACGTGTATATATACATATATAAATGTATATGTATATATATGTTTGTATGTGTTTGTGCCAGTGTACTTGTTAGTTCTCTTTTGTCATCGCAAACGCGCGCAGTGTTTGTTACTATTTGCTTTTCAATCACATTCGTAGCATTTGGCTGTATGTGTGTGTATGTTTTGTTGTTATTGTGAATCCGTCGTAGTGATGCCAGAGTCGATAGTTATTTTACGTGGCGTTGCCAATTAGCTTAAGCTAGAAAAAGTGTTGCTCCATTCAGTTTTTTATTTATCTAAAATACAGCCACATTAAAAGCCGTTAAGATACGCACTCATCCTCATCTAAACACAATGCACTTGATAGCACACAACACAGCAACAACAACAAAATCAAATGCAGTGGTATCATCATCACCCACACAATCGCACGTACAATTGCGTGGCGCTATACATAGATACTCATTACCCCATTTGCCATCAGCAGCACATTCTACAGTTGCCGCCAAGATAACGCACGTTAAGACCGATGGAGGTATTTCTATAACTGGCACGCCCATCATCAGCGGCGGAACCATTAAAGTGGCCACTGCCGGCAATACGGTACAGACATCACTGAGCGGCACGCCCATCGCTTTAAACACTGGTCAATCAACTACCGCCGCCTCCATACGGACGCTGGCAGCTGCCGGTCCCTCGACACAGGTGCGCGTTGTCATGCCAATGATCAAGCAGCTGGAAAATGTCACCGCCACGGGCCGTACACAAATCACAGCCATACCAGCAGCGCCGGCTCGCAGCGTATCGAATGCATCGATTACAGTAACTCGACCCGTTACACAAGCCACATATTTGCCGCGTGCAAGCGTAACGGCCACACAGATGAGTGGCGTGGGCGTGACGGGTGCCCAACGCCTTGTCACCCCTTTGCGCGCCACATCCTCGGCTAGCGTCAGCCCAGCGCCAGCTGGTCTTAGCAGTACGGGCAATTTTGTACGTACCTCACAGCCCTCAACAGTCATCTCGTCGGCAAATACTCCCGGTGCAACGGCGTGGATGCAGAGCAATGGGCAAGTGCAACTTATCCGTGCCATTCATCAGCCCAGGCAACGTCTCATAACGACATCAGCGGGCGTGAGTAGTGCCAGCGTTTCCACAACAGCAACACCTGTGCAGGCACCTACAGGTGAATATCAACATAATCTATTAAAAGGTTTCAATGAGTTAATTATAAACGGTGTTTATACTCCTGCTAGCTCTTACCGTTTCTGCAGCACAATCTATGCCACCGCAGCAATCCGGACCCGCGGGTGTGCCACAAGCTTATGTGGCTACTGTATTGCCACCGCGTCAACATCAAGCTACATTGGTTTATTCCTCGAACGTGTCTGCCACTAGTTCGCCCAACACAAATCCGAATTCACAGTTCAATCCTAGATTTGCTGTGGCCACGCCAATAGGCAGCGCTACAAGCGGTGCTGCCACAACGCCAGGAGGCACCACAGTTACGCCACGTCAGGTGCGTCCCATACCATTAGGCAAAGGTTTCCCAGCCACCAAGCTGAATACCACAAGCATCAGCATTCGAGCGCCCAGCATACCGCAGCTTAACTCAAACGTTGCGCCGCCCACCCCAGTGAGTGTGTCTAGTGGCGTCACTGTAGCTGGCCGTGGCCCGGGTGGCAGTGGTGGAGCCGCAGGCGTTGCTCCAGTTGCTCTAACTGCCGCGAACCTGCCTACCACACGGATCATACAGCTGCAGCAGCCAGCAACGGGTGGGGGACAGCAAATAATTGGCTCAACCACTCGTCTAGCCGCGAACGTCATGTTGCAGCCATTTCTGATGAGCACCAGTGCAGCAGCTAAAATGGGTAAGTGACTTATATTGCCATGTTTATATGAATATGGTTAAGATATCGAGATAATTACAGAATTTTAGTGAGAAATTAAATGAAATGGCTTGCATGACATACCTTGTTATATGACTCGTTTCACAAGAGATTTTATATTAATTGAACATTTTAACTTTTCACCTTCGAACTAAGTATGACTATTGCACAATAGTGTGCCAAATGATATAAAATATGAGAACCACATGTAACTTAAGTATTCGCCTTATTTATTTTAAGGCCTTCTGCCTTTCTTTCAAACGAAATTGTAATAGGAACAAAATCTATTTTATGTCAGCGCCGCAATTAATCGATAGATTCTTGGCTACACTTCGTGTAAACATGTAAACATGTAAACAGACGTGCGTATAATTAAAGACACGTAGCGAAATAGTTTATCTAAGACATTTTCATAAGAAGTATGTCATGAGATTTCCATTGACAGATAAATATTCAAAGAGATAATAAGATTTGTTTAATTGTTACAGGTATTCGACCGCCGGTTACAATGACAGCCAAAGTGCAGCCTTCGCTAACTATAACGCAATTGAATCCCATTGGCAAACTGTCGGCGGCAGGCGGGGGCCCCACAATGACACCGCAAGGCGTGGCCAGCATACAGGCGGTGCCGAGTGTTTCGGCTAGTGTAACAACCAGTTCGGTATCCAGTGGAGCCGCAGCAGCAGCGTCTGCTGCCAGTTCCGCTACGGTGCTGCCATTGACGATTGGCGGGCGAGGTGGACCTGCTAGCAACATTTTTGCGGGCACACTGACACCCGTTAAGAATGCCAGCGGCATAACTGTGGGCAAAATGATGATGGCTCAATCAGCCGGGCTAGATGCAGCAGCATCCAGCAGTGGCTTACCACCCAGCGGTGCGGGAACAAACGTATTCATACAGCAACGCAGCGGAGGCGGCAGTGGCGTCAGCGTAACATCAGCTGCGGCATCTGTGGTTACATCCTCGGCGGGTACGTCCTTCTTGCCACCAGGCAGCTCGGCCATCTACTATGAGTCCATGCCAGCCTCGACGGGTGTTCTTTCACTGACCACCACAACAGTCACGCAGAGTACACATACACATGGCCAATCTCAAGCTCAAGCTCAAGCTCAGGCCCAAGCGCAGGCTCAGCTAGTGAGCAGCACTGGCAGCAGCAGCCTTTCTGTTTCTTCGCTACCCTTTGCTAGTCATGCGCAGCAAGTAGGAACGGGTGCAGGATCCACGGCCACATTTACCGTGCTGCCATCGTCGGCAGCTGTAGGTGGCAATCGAGCTATTGGACATCAACAGCTTATTATACCAGCGACCGCTGGACATGCGGTTGGTGGCCCACCTCAGCACATGGTGATACCATTGCACACATCCGTCAAGGTAACAACGGGCGCAGTGCCTACGACGACAGGCGGTGGCGCCACAGTTAGTGCGTTGCCCATACAGATGCCGGTACCAGTGGGAGCTAATACACTTGTGTCTAATTTTATGCGCAAGCGCGATGCAGAAGGGTCGCCTATACGCGGCGTCAAGAATCTGGCACCAACCCTGCTCTCCATGAGCAGCAATAGCAACGCTTCAGCCGCGGTGGGGAATGTTACAGCAGTGAATCTAGCTGGCGGTTCTGCCTTCAATATACAGCCCGTCTCGGTGACGCCGGCAACGCAACCACTAACCACAACAACGGTAACCGGTTCGGCATTAACTGTTGAGGCACTCGCCAAAAAAGAACGTGAGCGTGTCAGCTCAGCTGCTGCGGCAGCTGCAATAGTTGGTGCATCATCGGCATCGACAGCATCCGTCTCGACAGCAGGTGGCAGTATTGTGAGCACACGGAACGTGCGTGCCGATTCACCTGCTTCTTCAGATGGTTCCACCACCGTCTCGGCGAATTCCTCGCCCGGCGTAGATCAGCAATTGCAGGACAGTAATCTGTCTATTAATCGAATTGGTGATGAGCCAACTGGAACAGCTGCGCGCGATAACGCAACACATTTCAATCCCATAAACGAGGTGAGTTTTTGGCCATTTGAACTATTCCCAAATAAATTGTTGTGTCGTTCAGCTCTACGCTACGCACCAGTCGCATGTGACGCATACAACTCTGGGCGCGCGGGGCAGTGGCATTCCTAGCGCTTTTGTAGATGTGCCACAGCAGCAGGGTTCGCATCTTGCGGCAACACAAGCCGTTACACTGACGGCCACCCAATTGCAGCAGGCGCGCATGAATGGCACCAGTGGCAGTGGCAGTAATTCTGATTACAGCTTGGCGCGCAAGAAACCGCGACGATCCACGTGAGTTGTAGCTGATTTTTACCATATGTACATAAAAAAAGCTAAAATAAACTTTTGTTTACATCTACAGCAACGATAGCCAGCAGTCCAATCAAAGTCAAGCATCGTTATCGCTGTCGCTGCCGCCCCCAATGGGCAGCGTGGGCAGCCATAGCAGCAGTACAACACAAGAGGCAGCATCAACTTTCATGCAACAACAACAGCATCAATCAAGCATCAACAATGGTGGCCTGCTACTGGCAGCCGCCGGCAGCACCACACCTAATGCCAGTGGCTCGGGCGAAGTAAATAATCATCGACTAGGTGGTGCTCCGCCTGTGGCTGGCAATAAGGAGAACGCAAATCCTGTGGACTATGTGCTGCGACGGCCGCGCAATTGTGCCCTGCTCAATGTGAGTTATTTAACAAATGGCAATCTATAACTATTTATGACTATAATATCTGGTTCTACATAACGCAGACATACAAGCCGACGCACAAGCTAGCGAATAACCATTTTCATCGGTATACTGATGTTAAGCCACGTGATGAGCGACGTGCCACTGTGATTGATCTAGCCAATCAACCAAATGTGCAGAAGAAAATTAGCGGCTGGAAGATTCATCATTTACGGTCACAAATGGAGGATTTGGTAATATAAAAAAACAGCAAGATTTTAAGCAGGTTTCTTGAACCCATTACACTTTACAGAACGATTCGGAAATGGTGAGTCTGAGCCAGCTGGAAACTATGTTAAAAGTTCTGGAAAAGGACAAAGATAAACTCGGCGAAATTGAACGCATCAGCGAGCTGTTGAAGGTAAGTTGAAATTGGTAAATTATGTATACATAATCTAATTAATCAATTATCACGCGCAGGGCAATATACAACGTAGCAAGATTATCACTGATGGTATCAATGAGGCGCAAAATCAACTTATGAAAATCTTTGATCATCAACCTCATGTCTCGGACATCATCAATCGTTTACAATCGAAGCGCAATTTTAAGAAACGCGAGAAACTTTAAATACATTTGTATGTATGAAATGTAAAGCTGTTGGGCAGAATACAACGATGTCTTGCGCCTTTAGTTAATGAAAATATTGATAAGTTTGTATATTGCTTAAGATAACTTTATACGTCATTAGTTTTAATTAATTTAACGTACGCATACGAGTTTGTAAGATACAACTACAAAAAAAAGTGCATAAAAGGAATCACACAAGACAAGAAACTAAACAACAATTAAAATTAAGTATGTAATATTTTTTCAAGTTCTTAAACAGAAATAATAATATTTGATTTTACATTTATATACTAATTTAATTACCCAGCAAGAGTCAATGCTCAACCTGCTTGATTTTGCCTTTATTGCAAATAATTGACGCGCAACGTCTTGACATCGATTCAACCAAATCTTGACATTGTTGTAATGGAATCTTGCTCCAGGACTCCTGAATTACACGCCAAAGCGAACCCTTGCCGACTGGCTGAGAAAGAGCAACTGACTCTTCGATAGCGGCCCATAAATTTTCGATGGGATTGAGGTCTGGATACTGCTCTGGCCAATCCAGAACATTTACCGAATTTGCTTCCAGCCATTCCTTCACTCTCGTTCCCATATAATTGGGACCGTCATCTTGTTGAAAGACCCATTCAAGGGGCATCTCGTCTTCCACATGAGGTAACATCACTGTTTCCAAAATATTTAAGTAGGCAAGTTGGTCCATTTCTGTTGTAACCTGACGTATGGGACCCACTCCATAGTAAGAGAAACACGTCCATACCATTACGCTTGTTCCTTCAAGCTTAGTGGTTTTTGTAGATAATTCAGAACTTCGATTACGCCTGATATAAGGAGCGTCACTGCCACTTTGTATAACCACTCTACTGACATCGGTCCACAAGATATTTCGCCATTTTTGAGCTGACCAATTCAGATGATCCCTTGCGAACGTAAAGCGTTTCGATAAATGTTCATTGTGTTCTCTAAGGCATTTGCGAACTGTTTGCACTGTCGCCGTTATATTAAGATCCCTTTTCAGCTCTGTTGCGGGCTTGAAAGGATCTTTTGTGCTTTCGTGGATCAAACTATTGACATGGAGCGGGCTAAGAGCTCGTTTTCTTCCACGTGTTTCGGCCTTTTCCTTATAGCTAATAGCGTTTTTTATCATTTTATTTGAACAACCAACCTAACGGCCAACTTCTCTATACGATTTGCCATCGAATATCAATTTCTTGATATATTCTCGGGTCTCGGCACTGCAGTGTTTTCCACGACCCATTAGGAACAATACTGCATTTATTTTTAATGGGAATGTATGAAATAAGATTAAAGTCAAATCTATGTTTTTGTTCAATAATAAAAGCTTTGGTGGTGCTATTATTGTTTACGGTATGTTTTAGGACGTTTCCTTTTAAATTGATATTCAAAACATCGATAACCATTTAAGAGCAGTACTATTTTTTTCGTATGGGGTAACAACACACTATTTATTTGTCAAATGTTGGTTAATTGAGTTAGGCAAATGTTATGACTTATAACAATGAGCTGATTTTTTTTATGTAGTATTTTAAAATGTTCGTGATATTTGTTTCGCCACTGTTTATTGACTGATTATCCTACTCCCTACTCCCAGAAAGAAGAAAAACTATACAAACTTATTTGCGTTTTATTACTTTATACTAATAGTTGTTGCGGTTACATGGGTGGTGGAGGCGGCACTCCATTGAACATGGGATGCATTGCCGGACGCGGTGGCCCCGGCATGGGGAATCCAGCTGGTGGACCCAGGGCGCGATGCAAATTTGGTGGCGGTGGTGGCAGTATCTTCGGCTCAAATTTGAATGCGAACTGCAAAAAGAACTGTTTGGTGTCGCGATTCCAGTGCGTCCAGAACTTGCCCTCCGTTTTCTCCACCTCCCGCGATGGCACCTTGAACCCAATTGTTTCGTACGGCTCAGCAGCGAACAGTAAATACTGCCATTTGCGATCTGGTGGCTCAATCTTTTGCTCATAGGCGGACATGAAGCGGTGGCGGGGCACAATACCGTCGCTAATCTCTGGATAGTCAATTTGGAAGAGTAGCGACTGCTGGCCATTGGTGGGTTCACGCTGTTTGGTTACTCGGTAGCCGGGACGACCGATTTTCACAAACTTTTTTGGCTCGACGCGAGGTTTCTCTGGCGCCAGAAGCGAAGATGGCGCATCCTTAGCTTCCTTGGCTGCACGTCGGGCCAAGTTCTCCTGATGTTTTTTGCCCTGTGTGTGCGCCAAATAACTACCTTCATTGTTGTGCAGTGTTAAGCATAATTTACACTCATAGGAGCCGAGATGGTTTTTCATAAAATACGGATCCTTGTTCAGGTCGATGGTCTCTAGCGCCAGCTGCCGTAGACGTTCTTTTCTTTCGCGATTTGTCTCCGACCAGGAGGCGACGCCACCGCTACCGGTTTTGCCACCGGCGCGATTTTGGAAATCCATGTTTAAGTTAAAGTTTTTAGTTTAAAGTTTACAAGAAAAGTAAACGCCGTATTTTTGCTACTTATCAGTAGGGTTGCCAGCCTAACTATTCGGCTTCTGAAATGCTTGACCAAAAAAACGATTACAGTTTCAGATATATCGATATTTATATATGAAAATTGACAACTGATTATTGTAATACATTCTATCTATTGTCAAAAAATACTGCGGAGATTATACAAAATTCAGCGATTCTTAGTATTCATATTTAGTTAAATACCCGAAACATCGATATATCGATCATTTACAGAGTCGTAAAAATTTGAGGATTTTTTTATTTTCAAGATTCAGGCACTCTGGTCAGCGCTAAGAGTTGCACATGTTCGGATTTTTTTTACATATAAAAGTTTAAATATATAGAAAGATTGGCCAATTATTGGCACAAAATAAGTGAGAGTAATAAATGCATTTTTTATTATCGTGTCTGTTTCGAAACGACTTCATTCAAATATGCGCTGCGAAATTAAATTACGAAATTAAATTGTAAATCTTGTAATTTACGTCAATTCGCTGCGTAATTTGACTGCGGACCAGGTTTTAACTAAAAGATGGATGAAGCCAAAAAAGAATGTTTAAAAACACCTCCAACAGTTCCCAATTCGGAAGAGGGTCAAGCCTTAAACAGTAAAATGCCGATGTCTTCGTCTACGTCACCGTCACCACAGTCACTTAATACAGGAAGATCATTGCCTAGACGTATTATCAATAAAATACCATTGGATTTTAAGAAACTCGAAGATGCAGGATTGCATAGAAAACTGGCAGTGGCATTAAGCAAACAAAATGTGCTTGCAACAAAAAGCATTGCATCAGAAACAACAAAAGCGCCGCAATCAAACTCTGCAATTTCGTCCGCAGCAGCACCGACAAAAACGACAACGCCTGCAACACATACACAGATGCACATACAGGGGCTGCAACAAACTGAGCATCAGACTGGTATTTAAAATTAATATTTAAATTTTTTTTTTATCCCAACATTAAAACAGTTAAAATACTTTATATTTGTTGGGATGTTTTGTTGAGATGTTTTCATTTATTATGTTATTATGTAGTGGTGTTAGCTATGTAATTCGTTTGTTCATCAGTGGCGCAGCTGTCTAAATTCTTGCGGTATTTTAATGTTGCGAACGGACGGGCGTTCGGCCCTGGTTCGTGTCGAGATCCGAACAAAGTTTATTTTAAAAGCCATAATCAAGAGAATATACATATATTTTTTTTTATAAATTTAAAAAAATTTTTAAAAAAGTTGCTTTCGTTTTTATTAAAATTATATCTATAAAAAATATTTGTGTAGTGTAAAATTATTTAGCACTAAAGTGAATTTGAAAATTAATTTAGTTTCATATGTTAGGGAGTTACTCAAAAATAGAGTTTTAAAATTATGTAGGGGATTATATTTTTTTTTTGAACTCTAACATCGTAAGGTTGGTTGAAGTACTTCATTCGACCCCCTTTATGAGATACTTTCGATGGTGTAGCGTGATAATGTGCATGGTAGGATGTTTAAGTGTTTTAGGGTTGGACACGTGGACTAGGTTCAATTCACATTTCAAACAATGTCATTATTTTGTTCATTTCGCACACTGTTTTGTTTTTTAAATATTACTAAAATTAATTTAAAAAGACGGATACCAAAAATGTATGGATAAACATAGACTAGATTTGCAACTATGCAACTATAAGTTGTAGTGATAGACGTTTCTTAAAATAAATATGATTTAAATTTGTTTCTCTTAAAGGTTATTTATACATTTTAAATTTATTTCCAGCTGCAATGCATACCGGGAATAATAAACCAATAGCCAGCACTGACCAATTGTCGCATGTGAAAAAGCTAATAAAAAATAAAATACTGAATAAATCCGCACAATCAGAACCGCAACAGCAAATACATCAGCAGCAGCAGCAACAACAACGGGACCAACATCGACAGCCACAACAGTCACCAGCTGCAGCTGCAGCAACAGCAGCAGCACCAAGCTCGGGAACTTTAAGCCAGCGTACAGGCCAGTCAGGTGGCTTTACAGTGCCCATAGCCAAAGCCGACTTGACAGCTCGTTCTAAACCGCCGTTGTTGCTCAATCTGTTTAATCAGTTGCCGAGGCAGCGTGCAACATGTGGAAGTATGAAACCACAACAAAAGAGGCTGCAGGCCTCGCCACAGCGAGCTCCACGAGCGTCTCAAGTAGACACACCCATAATACTAGCACCGGCATCAACAATGTCACAAATTCGAGCACCACAAACACCAGCTGCAACTCCTCAACCGAAGTCTCCACCGCCGTTGATTGTGCTGGAGAACAAGGTGTTGGCCCCCGATGAGAAAATCGATTTGAGGGCCTTGCGGCTGCCAAATGGCCAATCTCCGGCGGTTCCGCCTACTGCGCCACCCATTGTAGCGCCGTCACCATCATCCACAAAGGAGTTTGAAAATGCAGCTAAAGTAAAACCGGAAGCTAAGAAACCCACTGCTCCAATCAAGAAGATCATACTGAATGTCAATAAGCGAAAATTGCCGCGTGAGGAAATTGCTCAATTGGCCAAAGAAGTGCACAAGCAGGCAATGCAGCATGTACATCAGCAAAAGCCGCTAAGCACAAATACTCAAGCAATAAAACCGCCGAAAGCATTAGGTTCAGGTGCCACCAATATCACGCCTACAAAAGAAATTGGGCCATCTTTAAATACTCCAGTCACTGAAACTTCCATAAGTACAAATCCTTCTTCCTCATGTGCAATACCTTCATCTCTGGTAACTCCAGTTATTAAAACATTCACAAGGCCGAAACCGTCTTTATCCTCATCCTCATTGACAACTGAAGTCACTAAAACTTTCACTAGTCCAAACACCTCTTCATCGTGTGCAATAACTTCCTCATTAATAACTCCTGCAATTGAAACTTCCACGAGTCTAAAACAAAGTTCATCACCAGCAATAACATCTTCATCGATAATTCCAGTCACCAAAACTTCTGCAAGTTTAGAACCCTCCGCCTCATGTTCAATGGTCTCGAAAAACTTGGATACAGCAGTACCGCTCACAGATAATATTTGTGCATCTCCAATGACTCCAATCGTGGAAACTTCCTTGAGACCAATGACACTCTCCTCACCAACCAAAGCCACTAACAGTACAACACAGAAGACAAATATTGCTATCACCCCACCAGTTTCATCTTCATCCCCATTATCGTCATCCCTACCATCATCATCCCTACCATCATCATCCCCACCGTCGTCGTCATCAATAGCAGAGGTCAAGACGGAGCCGATAAGTGATGAACTATCCGCCGTAGATTTCATAGCACAATTGACGGCAACTGACGATGGTGATTCAAATAACTATTTTGAGCTGTCGCCAGAGGAGATGAGCATGAATGCCAAATTTGGCTGCTCCCAATCCTCGATTCCATCCACAAAAATTACAAAACCGGAGGATGACCTGGCCATAGGCAAGATATTGCAATTGCAGGATATGGATATAATGCATGCCACATTAAATGTGAATGGCAGAGAGCCCAATGTCTTGTCTATCAGTCCAAACGCTACAAAATTGGAGAGTAGCGCAAGATCAAACGATGTTGAAGTCCCAATCATAGATAACAATAATGAAGAACAGTCAAGCTTGCTCAAGTTTAAGCCTTTGAGGGTAACAGCGCCTAAGCATGTGTATACCAATACAAAAAAGAAGAATGTTTTATCGGACTCCCCAACTTCAGAGGAATTAATCACAGTGCCTGAGATTAAGGTTGCTGGGGAAAAAAACCAGATTGCGAAGCCGATACCTTACAAGCCCAAAAAGGGCAAAATCAATTTGGTGCAGCGTAACAAGAAAGCAAATATAGCTAAGCCGAAAGAAAACTTAGGTGAAAACTTACCGGAAGAACAATCTCACTCATCTGATAAGGATGTTTCAACCGACATTACAGAGCTGAAAGATGCACACAATGCAGTGCAATCAGCTCAAAATATACTGACTGAAACCCTTGAAGCTGTGGCAGAGAATAAAAATCAATTAAAACAAGATTTAAATGAAAACTCAACCGACATAAATGCACCTGAAATGAAACACACAATAGACCAGTCAAAGGCTAAAATAAGCGAAAAACAAAGAGAAGCAGAACCGGAAAATAGAGATAAGGAACAGTCTGTAAATGACAATTCGCGTACAACAGAAACAGTCATGAAAAACATCGAAAATGTGGCCAGCACATCAGGTGATAAAATTGTGATCTCAAATAAAACAGAACGTGTGATAAGTCAAGATAGTGAAGACGAAAATCAGATTCGTACTAATCTGGCTGCAGTAAATACCACCAAAGAAAGAGATCTATCGCAGCTATATCATCCGCCTAAGGTGCCGAAGCTTAAGCCTGGTGTATCAAACAAAAAGGATAATCATAATGGTATAGTCCACGATGAAGGTATTCCAGCATCTGCGTCACCACCAGCTGTGTCGCTTTTCGATGTGGTCAAGCAAAAGCAACCACCACCACAAGGTGAGCCGCAATTACCTTTTAAGAAAACAGAGTCAAAAGATAATAAATTAATATCCATGGACAATACGTTTGCAGAAGCATTGGGAATTCAAAATCTCGTAAATCACTTGGCAGCAGAGAACGTGGTGCCGCACAGCAAGGAAGTGAAGTCGGAGTCAACAGCTAAGCCGCCTAGAAAGAAGCTGGTGAAAACGAGACCGGTGCTCATCGGCAAGAGACCTGCAAAAGCTGCCCAGCCCCACAGTACGGCAGCCGGATCCGAGGAAGTAGAACCTATACCTGCAATCAAAACACCACTTAACGTGGAGAGCAAAACAAACGGGGCTCATCGAGTAAAGACTTCCAGCACCAGTGATGACGATGGTGACTTTTTTCATGGATTCGAAGAGACATCACGCAGTAAACGTATGAAGCACTCCAAGTCCAGAGAAACGGACATAAGTGATGATGCCTCACCGGATTATGATGAGACGGAGGAAGAGCCCCACTCGGATGTAGAATCGCTTGCCAATAAATCAAAGACTGAACCTGCTGTTAATAATAATATGGATACTAAAACTATTCACCAAGAAGTAGAGGCAGAGCCTATAATACAAGAAGCCGTCGCCCCAATTGAGACAGCTAAACAGGAGTCTTTGAAAAAAGTAGCGACCAAGAGAAAATCTGGCATTCAGGACACCGAGCTACAAACTAAGCCGAAACGTGCCCGTAGGAGCATGAAAGCAAAAGACGCAAAAAACGAATCGGAGCCGACAGTAAAAGTGAAAAGCCCCGAGCCAACGGATGTTAAGGAAGTTGAGAAAGTTACGGAAACAAATACGTCGGCTCAAATTGCAACTGATCAGCCAACTATAGTCAAGAAGAGACGAGGTCGGCCGCCAAAATCAGCCAAAATAGCTGACTCAACAGTTTCAGAAAATTCTTCTGTTCAGCCAACGACTGTCACATCCACTCCGAATCAGTTCATAACACCGACGCCTAAACGCCGTGGTCGCAAACCCAAACAAATGGAAGGCGTCAATGATACACCAGAATCTTGCCAGCAGACAAGCGACTACTACATGCGGCTGCTGCTCATACGCAACCGATCACAATTGGAGACCGATGAGGAATTGCGTGAGGATGGCCGAGGCGAGGGCGATCTACAATGCGGCTTGTGCCTCGTGCGTTGTAACAACGCCACCTGGCAGACTCATCTCGCAGAGCACTACGGCGTTGGTTGGCATGTCAAGGAACCAACTCCGGTATGTACCTTTACCCTCAACATAGATCTAATATTATAACACATCTATTGCAGATGCTCACTCGCAACAGCGTGATAAAAATGATTAAAAGTTATATGGATGCGGGCGGCACTAAGCGATTGAGTTGTCGCTTATGCAACAATCAACTGACTACAGCTCTGGGCATGATAATGCACGTGGAAGGCTGTGGTGACAAGGAACGCATAGTGTGTGAGCAATGCAAAGGCAGCTACAGTAAGCTTTTCTACCCGACACATTGTCGCACCTGCCCCAAACGAGTGCGAGTGCTAAGCGACGAGGAGCAGGTGGAACCAGAAGTAGACAATACACCAGTTTACAGTAATACAGGTCGCGCCAAACGCAAGTCTACATTGAAGTATGTTGCATGAACTGTTAAAATGATGTTTCAAGATATATTTAAATGTTTCATTAATAAATTTAGAGCTGAAACAAAGTTGGAAAAGATTGCAATTCAAGCGGCAAGCAACAAAGATTTCGAAGATGAGGTATCCGACTACGAAATGACCGCGGATAAAGAATCATCTGACGAAGAAGAGTCGGACGGCTCGAATATAAGTGAGGAACATGCCAAACCAGCAATCAAAAGAGATAAGATTTGTAAGTTGGTTTAATAATATAGTTTTTAAAGATGTTAACAATTATTAATATTTTATATATTAACTTGCAGTATGCGGTCGCTTAGATGTTAGAAAAGGAATGAAGGAGCGCTGGAATTTTTTGTAAGTATTATAGTATATAGGTCCAATCGGGATTAAAAGCTGATTTTTAATAGTCATCTCATATGTGTACAATTCAGAATTAATTGCAGATTTTGTTTTTGTGTATAATTATATTTTATTTGTTTTTAAAATTTATATTTGTATTTACACCGTGAACACATTAAAAATGTGATTTCAAGATATAATGGGTTTGTTTTAATAATAAATTAAATATATTTAATTAGTGTCCGAACGAATTACGCCAAAGATGCTTTGTACCCGAATTTACTGCCTTGCTATGAAAAGCTTTCACCTGCTGAAGCTAAAGATCTACTGCCCTCTATGGAGTCCACTTCCATGCGTTATGCCTATGGCCGCGCGGATGACAACGCCTGGATGCATTTACGGCCACAGGAGGGCTTCAACAAAAAGAGTAATTTGATGACGATAATGCTATAGCTTGGTTATTTACTTACTTTGATTATTATTCCAGATGAATCTGTGCGCTACCTTGGCACGCCTATTAAGGAGCTTGCATGGGTACCTTTACCATCAACTGTAAGCACACAGTATTTGTTATGCTCCCAACGTAATAAGGTGCTCGGTTATTCCCGTCAATTTAAGGACAAGCCGGAGAAAGCATTGCTATTGCTGCTCGAGTGCAAAATGTCCACAGGTGGTGAGGATAAAGTATTTCCACTGCAGATACGACTGCATTATAGTATATGTGTGCCCCAGGGACCGGTGCATAGCATAGCATTTATGCCTAGCGGCGGCTACGATGAATCTAATAACCGATTAGGTTTACTTGCCGTGGGAAGTCTATCGGGTGCGGTTATATATGCGTTGCCAATACACCCTAAAAACGACAGTGAACAAACGAATAAACAACTTGATGTTATTGTCTTGCAACCGATGCTTACGCTTACCTTGGATATAGATAATCCCATGCAGGATGCGTGCACTAAAATATGTTGGTCTGAAGTAAGAAAATCTTAAATGTATTTAGAGTATATTTAATATTATTCTTGTACTCTTATTTAAGAGTTTTGGTCATCATTTGATAGTGACCGGCTATGCCAGTGGAAACGTTGCGTTTTATGATATTTCCGACGACCAAGAACTGAATCGCATGGAGCGTAATAACCAAAGTTATTGTGTACCCGCACATTTCTTTTATTTTGGCGAGCGAAATATATATTGTAATTAATACAAATCTTTTGTAGTATTTATATCTAATCTATAATCTGTTTTAAAGATCTTGATCTGCATTATGACACGAACGGGGCCCGTTGGCTGGCAGTTGGCACCTCGGTACGTAAACTGTGGATCTATGACATAGCAAACTTAGCGCAGCCGTTGCCAATTATGGGTGACACTGTTTGCAACATGTATTTAGGCGGCCTTACCTGGCCTTCTTTGTGGGAGTCACTGGCCGTTGGTTCCACCGAGGTTTACAAATCAAGTAAGTTTACTTCATTTTCAAAATATACAGATTCTTAACTATGACTTTTTTATTTTATTTAAGAATTTCCGCGCGTGGTAATGGTCAATCCATCGGGCATTACTCTTAGCCACTCGACGTTGGATTTAACACTGAGTAGTCCCCGTTCAGTGCATTTCAATTGGGAACAATTGACATTGGTTACAGTTACGGATAACGGTGATGTGACATTTTTGTATTGTGATCAATTTAATATGGTACAAAAACGTTCGACTGACTGTCGTTCCGTCAGCACAATGGATGTGTGTTGCTTGAGCGGAACTCCGGAATCGAATTCCGTTACACCTGAAGAGTTTAAGCAAGACTATGGCCTGCTCATCAAGCCATTTGTAAATGTAATTCATAAGAAAAAGAAGGCAACTTACCTAAACATAAAGAGACGACCAAACTTTGATCTGTCAAACCTAATGCGACTCAATTGTGTCAGATGGAACTGGAATGTGGGTGCACGTAACTGGGTAGCCGTCGGTGCTGAGCATGGCTTACTTCGTATAATCAATTTTGAGGCGGATAAACACTTTAAATATTTTTGATACACGCACTATTGAGATTTTAGTTGTAATAAATAATTATGTTTAATGCTTTTATAAAAGTTACGGTTTATGAAGTTTTGAAGCTTTAAACATATTTTTGGATTAACTTGTAATAATTTATTGGTAGCTGTTATAGTAATAGGCAATGAAATGTATATAACGATATATGTATTTGATATCTTGTAATTGCATAACTGAAAGTATGTAATTTATTAATATAATGAAACATATTTATTACATTTATAATACAAATTCGAATATAAAACATAATTGTTGAAATTATATATAAATTTATAATGAATAATATTTTAAAGTTTTTTTGCCTTTATGTGGAATGCAGGCCCCTGGATGAATAACCCTGTTTCAATTTTATCAGCATGTTGTGTACAGTAATCAGCAAGTGAATAAATTATTTTTTTTTGTAACATTAGCTTTTTAAATCAAAGCATATCGAAACAAAAAAAAAGTAAGTCGTCGAAAAATACAAATTTGTAATCGACTAGGTCTGATTACCTCAAAATTCGATAAAGAATCAAAAGTTTATGTTTGAATCCTAAAAGGATTCCAAAGGGCTGTCGGTATGAATATAAAAACACGTGAAAATAATTATAATGTTGAGCAACGCACGTTGGCCGATTATCATCGACGATTAACACTTTTGCTGGAGCGTATGGAGCGATTGGAAGCATCATTGCAAACAATTCCTTTGGTCAGTCGCGCAACCAACATGTATACTGAAGAGAGGGATATATTTGAGGAGAGTTCTCATGATGATCAGCATTCTAAAGAAGACAAAGATGTTGAAACTGAGAAAGAACAGAACGAATGCCAGAAAACGAAGAATTCTATGTAGAATTAGTTTGAGCTGCATAGGATATTAAGAACGACAACATTTTATTTACAACATACATATATATATATTTAATATATTTCTCAATACATTTCATCTGCATTATATATGGTACTCAGTATTAATATATATATTTATATAATCAATTTACATCAATATTTGCCAAATGAATGCAGATGCATTAACAATGATATAACGCTTTTATTGTTGAGCTTTCTGATAAGTAGCGATCGCGCTTTAATATTGTAGTTTTGTAATGCATGCGATTCGAAATGTTTGATATCAAATAATGTTAAAATAATATATATAAAATGTTAGAAAACCGTTTAGTAAATAAATATATCGGCAAATGCGTGGCTTACAACTAAACAGGCTAAAAACTCTTATATAAAAAGCTGAATGTTTCGAATAACACACGGAACAGGTTTCGACATACCTAAATACCACACATTCAAAGCCAGGCTACACAATCCATATATGAGTAACTTTTATTGCGTAAATCATTATGTGTATGAATGTTGATATCTATTGTCTTTTTTATGGGCCACTCAAAGGTAGCAGCTAACATAAATTGCGATAGTTGTATGGCATGTGGCTAAGCTAGGAGTGCTTGAATTCTGCCTATTATGCACTTGACCTTCAGTCTTCATTCTTAGTACTCTTTCTTACTGTCTTTCTTGCTTTATATCTTTTACCTGTGCCAATATGGACTGATTACACATACAATTTTTTAACAAATTCATCAATTGCAAAACGGAACTTGACTTTTCACTTAACGTAAAGTTACATTTTAAATAAAATACAAAAAAAATCATAACATTAAACTGAGCTCAAGATGATTTACTTCGGTTCACCATTCGCTGGCTGCATTGTGGACGCGTTTCGGTTTCCAGCTAATTCCATCTGAATCTCGTTCAGACTCTTGCCCTTCGTCTCGGGCACAGCCAGGAAGACGAAGATGACGCCAACAATAGTAACACCAGCGAACAACCAGAAGGTGCCGCCACTTCCCAATGAATCATTAAGATTCTTAAACGTTTTTGTTACGACGAAGGCGAGCACCCAGTTGGTGGTGCCAGCAATAGAGCCGGCGAAGCCCTTGATATCGGTGGCAAAGAGTTCGCCCATCATCAACCATGGCACCGGGCCATAGCCAATCGAGAACATGATCATGAAAATGCACAAACTGCCCACGGGCAGCCAACCCAAATTATCCACACTGGCTGGATCCTGATCTTTCATATAAAAGTACACGCCAATTGCAGTGGTTGACAGCGCCATAACAGCTCCCGAGGCAAGCAACAGAATGCGACGTCCCAGCTTGTCCACCACCATTGTGGATACAAAGGTCGCCACCACTTGCATTACACCAATCAGGATTGTAGACATGCTGGCGCTTATTCCAGTGTTGGCATCCTGTTCAAAAATACATTAGAAATCTGAGACATAATCGACCCTTAAAGCCCGATCACTTACTTCGAAGATGGCCTCCGAGTAGAAAATGACAGCGTTAATGCCGCTCAGCTGCTGGAAGAACATCAGACCCAGGCTAATGCACAATGCCTTGATTGTAACGGGACGTGCCAAGGCTGCAAGGATATTAACCTTGTTTTCACGGATCTCGCGTTCGGTCTGGTGCAGTTCCTCCATTTCAGGTGCATAATCGTATTCGGTGCCACGCAGCCATTGAATGGATTTCACAGCGGCATCTGAGCGATTCTTTGAAACCTATTAAAGATAATACACAAGAATTTAGAAGAATAAATAAATACAATCAATATATGTATTTATATTACATATTATTTTTGCTAAGCAGTGAACAGTTTTAAAATAAATTTTAACTTCACGGATGAAATTTCTGCAGATTTTTTAATGCAATTTACATATGCACCTTAAGAGTCTATGTACATCCAAATTTCCATCTTGAACTTACCAAATATGTGGGAGATTCCGGCATGAAGAAGAATATGACGCCAAAGATAATGGGCAAAATGCCGCAGACGATGCTCATCCAGAAGACGCTGAGACCAGCACCAATGCCATACACAAACAGTATGCCGATGGTGATCATAAGCTGGAAGAAGCTGCCAAGCGTGCCGCGAATATCCTTTTGGGCAATTTCACCAGTGTACATGGGCGCCGTTACGCAGAAGGCACCGCCTGCGATACCCAGAATGAAACGTGCAATGTACATCATGAATACGTTCTGTGCCCAGATCAACAGGGCCCAGCCCACTACGAAGGGGGCGACCAGTAGCAGCATTGTCCATTTGCGTCCAATAAAATTGATGAGGAAGCCAATCGGTATGCAGACACAGGCAGCACCAAGGGTCATAAACGAACTGACCCAGGAGTATTGCGTAGAGCTGACATCAAAGTCGTATGCAGTTGCGTCCTTAACGATGCCCGTCTCTGCCGGCGAGGTCCAGCCGAGCAGTGTACCGGCTGCAAAGGCACCGCCAGCTGCCGCCAGAGCGGCAACATATTGCGGCAAGGTCTTCGACCTGTTCTCGGTGGACGTGTGCACCATTCTGCCAAGTAGATTTTCCTGATCCTGCAAATCAGTGAAAAACAAGAAGAGCGTATTTAGTATTAAGACTCTTGACTGTTTGACTAACTAACAAGAACTACAATCCAAGCGTATTATCACATAAGTCTAATCACACCGAGAATAAGTAAGCCGTGGTAATGCCCACCATCTGCGATTACGAACTTTATTGCGGCACGATAATGTGTCCAGCCTATGCTACAGAGAAATGCCCAAGAGTCCCAAGTTCTATATTGATTATTAATTATTTGGCAAACGAACGCGGGACACAGTTTAATTAGTTAGTAGAAATTTCTTCATGGGTGGGTAACGAATGCTTATTGATAAGGTCAAAATAGAACAGTTTATTGTGCTAAGAGCGCCTAGCTCTTAATAGGTTGAATTTAGCATTTTGCTGATAAGCCCAAGTGTCAACTTCCTGCATTATAATATTGGGTTTCTTCAGTCTAATCCAATAGAAAGAAATTTATTTTATCCAAATTTGAGGATATGCGTCACTGATAAGTTTTATTGCCACTTTAAAAAATCAAGGGGCGAGAAACTGGGATGGCATATTGAAGATTAGATATGCAACAGATTGCTTAACTAGAGCTTGAGCGGATTCAACGATATAAATCGGAAGGGTACGCATCTGGGTATTAATGATAATATTCAAAGAGATTATTATAAGAGCAGCTATATAACTTTTTCCCATGTCGAACTGATATGTTAATATGGAAGATGTGATGCTGGTATTTTATTATTACTATTATTATTATTATTATTATTATATAAATATATATATATATATATTTTGTTTGCTCACATCAAAATTAACACTTTGTTCTATCAAACGCAACTTTAAAATGAATTGAAATAATTTGCAACTGGTAATAATATTTAATAAAATAAATCAATGTAAATTAAATTATAAATAATTAACTTCAAATGTTATTGCACATGTGCATTTGGCATTGTCTTTGGCTTAGTGAAGCGGCTCCAATTAAAAATTTGTTGCCTTGGCCCTGGCACGCTCCGTGGCCATATGAAAGTAGTTAACGTTATCGCGTGCTTAATCAATATGGCAAGTACCTAGATACTAGCCATAAAGTTGTACCAATAACATATGTGAGGAATTGCTATAATTCTGCTAATCAATAAACGCTAATTGAACACAGTTTTATACGTCATTTAGTGATATGGAATTGTGGCAAAAATCTTATCGGAAAGCAACTGAAAACTAGCTAGATCTACATTATTTAGAGTAATGTATACTTAAAAAAATTATAGAAATAATGAATATATATGATTAAATTAAATAGTTTATAAAATAAAAAATTATCGGATCCAATAAGAGAAAATATTACTATATATAAAGCTTTGTAAATAAATAATCTGAGGCCGATTTATTTGAAATACAATATATTATGTTTTTTTAATATTTAGTTAATTGAAAATCTTTATTATGAATATAAATATAAATATAAAATTTATAGACAGTCCGCTAATGAATAATTTGACATTGCCTAATTTTCTCTCTGTGTACGCACTCGTTCCAGTTTTTGCTCAGATACGAAATGCATTTATTTCGCTAAGTGCTTTTTATATTCCTTTCTCTTGCTGGCTTTTCTTTTTGCCATTTACTTTATCTCATTTTACCGCCCACTCGCAGAATGCGCGGCAATCACTGCTGCTCACCCATACGTGCTCGTATATCCAATCAAAGCCCACATTGGTGCAGCTTTATGTGTACTATGCACTTCCGCACATGGAAAATGCTGGCCGAGAGTTGCGTTACCCAACCGGTAACTGAGAAGAGGCGCGCCTACGCCACCTCCTGCTTGTGGCTGGGACACACCTCCAGCTGGGCAGTAAGTCTGCACTGAAATCGATATTTGCGACGCCGTTGGCGTTGTTTATGTGGTCACTGCGACTGCTGCCGCCAATGTGCACAACTATATTTAGATTTACGTTGGCAGTCAACCTAGCCACTAACTTGTTGGGCGCCCACGCATTAACGACGCCCGCTTGTAGCTTTAAGCCGGTCAGGACAACAGCTAAGCGAGCGCCAAATGTCATTGTCATCGTTGACCAAGTCCAAGTTCATTTCAATGTCAAACGCGACGCATTTGAGCGGCACCTAATAAGAAATAACTGAAATTGCATTTTGAAGCATTTCCATTAAAATACTTCTAGCTCGACTATCAAACCAATAAACTGGTTTCCTTTAACTATTCTAAAGCGTTAAAAATAATCTGACAAATTCTCCAGCCTCTGATATGCAGGCATGCGAATGAACCTATAATAAAGATTAAATTTTATATATCAAGATTTGTGCATAACAATTTGATATATGTTTAATGCAGAAAAGAAATTCCTTCCTTATTTTCTGGATATTTTTAAACGTCCGAGAATGCAATACTATGTATACAAATAGAGTATACAGGGTGTCTTTTTTTTTTTTAAACATCGTAAATGAAAATGTCTTTGCTTCACACATTGAATAAATAATTCGATTTGATTTGTTAAACGTATTTGTTTTAAATAAATATTTATTCAAATTTAACAAATTAAATATTTTTGCTAATTTGGCTGCCTTTGTTGTCTCTTTTTATCTGATTAGGCTTATCAGTTAATTGGCTAATAAACTTTCTGTTTTTATACAATTTTGTATGCCATGTTGGCCAAGGTTATTTAATGAAGACAAACAAAATCATTCATTAACCGATTCAATTTCTTTTTAAGCAATTTAGTCAAAACCCAAATATGATAAGAGCTTATCATTCTGTTAAGGGGCGTACACAACAAAATATATGTGATTGATTCAAACCGTAATTAATAATAACAACAAGCTTGTTGTGTTAAAAAAATAAAAAAACCAAATTGATATTTAATATCAGACTCGTTCCAGAGAATGCTTTGAATGAATTCGTAATTTTCACGGTCACAAATCGTAAGCCGGTTTACGATTTCAGGGATTTAATGCATAAGAGTTTTTAATTCAGGTTCTGGAATGCTGAGAGTCGTATTAAAATGCGATACAACTAAAAAAGAAACGAAGTCTTGCTAAATAAAACTTTAATTTGTTGAACTAGTTGGGCAGATAAGAGAATATTGTTTTCTGCTCTTCATCTTATCTTTTTTCGGTTTGATGACTTGACTTGCTTATGTATGGCGCCTGTTTAAATTCTTTTCTGATAAATTTTACTAAACACACATTAAAGATTGTGTGCTCTGGCCAAACAACTAAAGCAAGTTACGCTTCACACACCGCTAATTGGGTGCGCCGTGGTACTTTAATTTTTTCCGTACTTTTGTCAAGGTCAAACTTAGATGCATAGATACACAGCTAGAGTTAGTTAAATTATTGGAATTTTAGTACCAGCACCAGTTAGAAAATTTGAATAACATTGTGATTGGGCCTACTTGAGGTCTGGCATTGGCACTGTCATTGACATTGTCTTGGGTCTTGACGATTTTTACCGCTTGCCGGGAGCCATATTTGGCACCGTTCTCGTTCGCCTCCAGCAGGTGGGAGCACTCCTCGCTGTTGACCCCGGGTTTTTTGTTGGGCTCATCGCCGCTTGAGTTACTGGAGGATACGGTTGACATGTTGCTCTAATTTATTTTCTCTTGTATAACTGATATTTTTCGTGTGTATTGTCACTAATTATTTAAACAAATGCAAAGCTCGTTTTTGTTTTTGATGTGTATTATGTCACTTGTGGATATGTTTAGTATTCAACGCGTTGTTTTTAGTTGCTTAACTTGTGAAGTTCATTTTATGTTTTATTTTTTCTTTTTTGTGGGTGTTTTTTTCCCGCTTAGCTGTGCATTGCTCAATGCTCGTTTGTTGAATAATACGTGCGCGTTTCAATGTCCTTTGGCAGTTTGTCCTTTAACACAACTGGCCCACCCACGTAGCCTCATAGAATACTTTTAAGCGCATGCGCAATGCTTGGCAAACATGTTGCTGTTCACACTGCACTTGAGACTAGTCAAGATAAACATTCAGCTTCAACTGAGCCGCGTTTTTTGAATATGAACAGACGTTCGTTAGGTCGCGGGTATCTGAAGCGCAAATGTATCTGTATCTCTTAACTGAACGCAGCGACTGTTGGATGGCAAATGACGCGCCAAAATATAAAATAAAACCAGACACGCCGGGCTCTGTGCTGGATATGGACTCGCTCTCTTACCCTCTCTCTCGCACTCTCAGTCTTCGACTCGCTCTTGTAGTCTCTCAGTGCGTCTGGCGTACGCAGCGACACTGCCGTCCGCCAGGGGGTGCCATAGACGCTTTTGAGGCTATTGACTTGCAGCGTCAACAGAAACTGGAAATTGTGCGCGTTGTTTCCTTTTCGCTTTTTGTTCTAGTTGAGATTGCTTTCAGCCTCTGCATCGCCAGCAACAACAATAGCCACTGAGAAGTGCATTCTGTAGTCTACGATCCTCTGCATCGTGCAGCTTGTGACCTTAATTGGGTTACATTCGGTTACGGCTTATTGTCTGGCTACTCTATATAAATATGTATCCTTTATAAGACTGTAAACTAAACTCAAGTACACAATTGATCCCATGCATAAATCAATTATAACAGTTTACAGAACATTTCCTGCTCAATAAAGACATGTGGTTCGTTTAAGATATAGTAATTGATATCAAAGGATCGTCGCTTTATGAAAATATTATTGCTTTTAACAAGCTTGTTAAGCGTTTAATATAACAACAAATAAAATATAATAAGTGTATTTATAAATGTATAATATTTATTTAAAAGTCACTATTTCTGTACTGCATTTAATATAATAAACTGTTTTTCCGACTTAATATGCATGAAAATCTATAAAATACAAATAAAAGTTGTTTACAATTATTCAATAATTTATGCGTTTTTCTTTTTTATTTATGTAATTAACAAATTCAGGCCAATCTGTTTGCATATTTTGGTAAATACGGAATTGTCGTACGACAAAGGCAAAATTTACATTTTCCAATTCTCCAAATAACTTGTCGATGTATACTGTATTTGTAGATGTAGATATATATATATATATATATATATATATATATATATATATATTTGAGGCATTTACAATATACATATAGAGGCACACTCAGTGTAAATAAGCCCGCAGTTGCATTTCCATATGCACACACGCGCACACACACAGCTCCAGGTACCCATTCAGTTTGTTTACTTACGATTCGAAAATGCAAGCGAGAATTTTCTTATGTAGTATATCTCTTCTCTTCGATAAAGGCGCTCATTCTTGTTCGCTTTCAGTCTCTAAGTAATGCGTCGTTCTTTACGCACCAGAGCATCCGCTCAATGGAGCACGTTTGTCTTTCTGACACATGGAAAAGCGTCATTATAGATCCCCAATGAATATGCGGTAATGAATCAATGAGTGTATCCACATTCGTATGAGTAAACATGAGTGTTTTTGTCTACACAAATTCGAATAGAAATTACATTTGGCCTGAAGCGTCAAGAACTTTCAATGTTTTACTTTACTGCTGAACTATGAGATATCCTATAGAATTGTTTATTTTATTGTTTATCAATTATATGCTAATAAATAAAAAACACTATAATAACTTGAAGTATTGTTTATTAATTATACACTCATAAACAAGAAGGAATAAATATTATTTAATATATTTATAAATGCTCATTACAATCTATATGGTATTCTAAGTTATATATTTGTTCTATTATGAACACTTCATATAAACAAAAATAATATATAAAATATGATTGTGTATGATCCCAAAATAGAACTGTAGTGAAAGAAAAATCATCCCTTAGCTGTTGTGATCAAGCTATTGAAGTCTTAAGAACGGCTTGAGCTGTAAGTGCTAACATGTGTCTATGAATTATTGTTAAGATTATGTTAGGTATATACGAGTGAAGTACATTAGCTGCGAGTGCAATGATCGGAAGCAAGCATATTGGGTATATAAGACTAATATATGAAATGCGTTCAAATATACAATTCAAGAAATGATTATTTTTTATTTAACTAGAAACATATACATAAGAATTATCTTACAAATTAAAAATACATCGAGCTAAATATTGTTTTTTAAGTTAATTGTAAATAAGAAAAAATTCCTTAGGCTTATTTTCAGTTTAAGTATCTTAAAGATACGAGCATTTTATTTTGAATAAAAAGAATTATTTATTTAATTATTTTTTTAAATTTTATTTGGCTATTTGAAGTTCTGTATCACATAAATATGCCCGCATTATTCAAGTTTCCAGAGTATCACAACAAATGAATAAACATGACAGTGCGGAACACGAGTGCTGCTGACGCTATGAGTTAGGCAACGAGCACATCATATACGCAAGTCACATAAATAGAATAAAACAACAACCTAAAGCAACAGAGGCTAGATATGTTTAAATGATTAACATAAGAAAGGATATCCGGTATAGGAATTAGTATAAAACGGACTGGACATTGCTAAGCATTGATTTACTCTCTTTAAATAGTGAGTACCCCTGATTACGTGCAACAACATCTGGACTGACACAGTTTAGTTGCGTGGCAAGCTGGGACTGAAATACAACCAAACATTTGGCACGCTTCAAGCTCGGGCCAGGCGCACAGAGCGCCTAAAAGCATGCTCGCACGTAGCTCTTGGTAGTGCTGCAAAGTGTGTATCTGCTGGTCGGGCTGAACCTATGGGTCATGGCCAGAGCCCCACGCAATGCCAAACGGTGTATGTATACTAATTACGGAGCTCAGACGACCTACACGCAGAGCATGGTCGAAACTCTCGACCCGCCCATCTCAGCTAGTGGCCTCCAACTCTCAAGTGTTACGTAAAAGCTCATTAGGGCAACGCAATTGCCGCGAATTTAGCGCTGACTACGTCAGCGCCGACGACGTCACGCCACTGTGTATCTCAGTTACATTTACATATTTATACGTTTGTTGAGTTAGTTTGGAGCGTGACGTCACGAGAGCCAAGCCCCAAAACACTTGGCCAATCAGCAAACGCGAACGTGCCCCTCTTACTCACACACACGGACATGTTTACACACATTCACACATACCCTCATACACTACACATGTGCATATATACAGATAGATATTCATACGTTTCAACATTTGAGCTAAAATTTCAGTGCAGCTTTTTTAGTTGCTGTTGGCCCACGCAAATCACGCGATTTCTGTCAGTTCAAGTGCAGTTGTCTGAATTTTGCTGAACTAACACATCTTTTTTCACTGTGACCTACATTTGAACTTGTGGAAACACGCGTCACAATTCGATACAGTTTTGTTTCTTTGTAATTTAAAAAGTCGATAAGTCGCCCTCAGCCTGGCTGTTGGTTGAGGTTACGCCTCCGCACGTGCAGCGGCTGATGTGGCTTTACATATGAACACGAAATTCATTTTGATGTAGGCAACAACAAAGTTTGTCTCTTAAAATTGTTGAATTAAACGAAATTAGCTAATTTTAATAAGTAATCAAATAAAAGATATTGTATTTATTTTATCTTTTGGACTCCCAAATATATTATTATTTTATACTATATATCTTTATTTATACATAAAATAATAATATAGTAATATGGTATAATTAAAGTTAATTGATTAAACAAACATTTGCATTTGAATTGTAACGGCCAAAGCTGAACTCAACCGCAGCACAAAAGCTCCTAACCAAAGCTTTTAATACAGTTTGAAAGCATAGCTTGGCAGCGCTGTATGCAATGCAACTCAAACTGTGGATCAGAAGCAATTCATGTCGAACTGTAATAATGTATTTTTTATTTTATTTAGACTAAAACAAATTTGTGAAACATGTGCCTTGACTTATTTGTCAACTGAAAAAATATGAAAATATGTTTTCTCTCAATTGGGTCATAAAAATGTGTTGTTTATCTAGCCAGCCAAGCGAGTACTTCTAATCTACCCTTGCCGAGAAAGTAACGATAATCTGCAGCACCTTGATCATATCATAAACCAATATTTTTCTAAAATGCTAAAGTTTGTTGATTTATTCTTGTTTAAATATTTGTAGGCAATGGAATCGAAATCAAGTAAGACGCGACGTCTAATCTTCTCGGTGTTTATCAGCGTAACCGAAACATTCCACACTGCAGCAAATACTATCAATACTTATCAACTCTGTTAAATATGTATATGCACATATAGAATTTATGGACGAAAACATGAGCCACAAATATTGCACTAATCATTGATGAGCGATAAGCACTTCTGTCACTTGGAGTTATCTGCGCCGCTAAATCGCTTTATGGCCCTATCCATATCTATGGTGCGCCTATTTTCGGTTATTTATAAATTTACTATATATACATAAACATGTATATGCGAATACAAAATTATTTATGGAGAACATTGTTGATCTCACACTTGACTGACAGCTCATATAGTGAGTGGTAAATACTCCCCATTGAGTAAAACGCGACAATAATACACGCCCACATACAGTCGACGCACTCGCGTACTTTAACAAGTAATTTCCTTATTAGATCCACAAAAAAATTGACAATTAATATATGTATGTACATAGTACACAGATGCAAAACACGCCATACGTAGGTCTAACGGGATAGCATTTACCTAGTTCGGAATTTATTAGTGCCAATTGAGCGCACTTTTGTTTTATTCTAAGTAATCTTTATAGCACTTGTGCTGAGACATAATCAACACAGAACCCAAGGCATTGGCACACTCTAGATACTAGAACAACAAATAAAAGTTGAATGAGTGAAGAATTTACCTAAATAAAAAAAACGAAGCCTTCATATATACTTGCTTTATATAAAGCAGAGTTAATGGTTAGTGTGTAACTGTGAGTAGACTCACTGTGCTCACTTAATGAATATATATATATATTAATCTTTTTATATATTCATTTAAAGAGTTTATTAACTTGTTGGCGGTAGCAGCGCTTTATAAATAGGTTTGTGGTTTTCCAGTACATAGGGCGGCATAATCTGCTATTTGTTCTTGAAATTAATCATAAGCTGTTCTCGACATTAGTCAACCGTGAGCTTATGCAAGGTGTTTTGTAAGGCACAATTGCCCAAGCTTAAGTTCATA